TAATTATTATCACTATAATCTCATAATCAATTTCTTTACCACTAATGCAATTTGATCAGGGGAATTAAAATTAAAAAAAGATTTTAGAAGAGGTTAAAATATAAATTTTAAATTATTTAAAAAGAAGCTTAAAATTTATTTTTTTTACACAGGTTCGGTCTGTTAGCCTTCGTTACTTATTTTTATTATCATTATCTTCGCTACTATCATTATTCAATTTTTATAACTATTTTTATTATTGTTATAACTTGGCTATTATCATAATTATCATATTTATCTTTAACATGCTTATTAAGATACCACAATAAATACATAGTTATCATTATTTTATTATCATTAATTTTTTCAGATCATTACTTATTGTAAAATATTTTTCATGTAAGACAATTTTTATATATTAAATGTTTTACTCAAAACAACCACGTTCTAATGAGGACAATTAACATTGGTTCGGTCAAAAGGACTCATTAATTATTTTTTATATCACAAGGACTAATTAATTATTTTTAATAAACTATAAGGACTAAGTTTACAGTTAACTAAAACGAAAAGAAACTGAAGGGCTACCCTCCAAAAAAATAGAAAAGTAAACTAACCCAAAACCCAACAAACTAAAGTAAGGAGGCAAGAACATCATCAAGACATCAACTTCCTCTCCTTTCACTCAACTCAACCGCTCTCCTCCTCTCCTCTAAGACGAATTAAAGACTCTCTCTCTCTATCTCTCTCTAACGCTTTAATAATTTCAATCACGGGTCAGTTTTTTGAATGCTTCTTTGAGGGTGAGAGAGAGTTTTCGAAGGCCCAAGACCCTGCCTCTCTTTCTTTCTTTCTCTGTTTTCTCTTGGATACACAAACACAGTGGTTTTTAGAAAGAGAGAGAGACTACTGGATCAAGAGGCGAAAGATCAAAACAAATTGTGGGTGTTGATGGGTTTTTGAGAATCTTGTCGGAGAAAGAGCTGTTGGTTTAGTTGTAAAAAGTTGAACAAGACTACTTGAAAAAGGAAACAAGATATGTTTGGTGGGTACTGTGAGTGCTTTTGTTGGAGCAACCAAGATTTTTATGATGATGATTTCTACTTGCCAGACCCTCAACCTTTCTCTTTGCCTTCACCTCTTCCTAAATGGCCTCAAGGTATCAATACTTCCATACACAAGCTACTTTCTTTTCTTTTTCTTTTTTTAAAAACGATGAACTATTTGTTTGACTATGTTTGTCTAGGAAGAGAAATCAACTCTTCATTTCTATTTTTTTGGTTAATTAATTATTGTTTTGGGTGTTAAACTGTTAATTTGATCGGAATATGCTTTGTATATGCCTTACTTTCCCTCAATCTTTTTGGTGATCCTTTCTTCTGATTTTTGACTCAGTTTGTAGGCTTTCATTGTTTCACCAATGGTCGACTTTGTGTGCTAAATGCCTAAACCTTTTGTAAATCTCAGAAGTTTCCTCTCGTTTTTTTTCCTCCTTCCAGTCAGAACTCAGAAGTTTCCCTTTTGTTTTCCTCTCAATTGTTTCTTTTTATATCTAGCCAGTTACATGTATCAAACAATCACCTATCAGCTTGATTACCATGTGAAGGAATGTAATTATACTTAGTCTAAGGTTTATAAGGATTAGAGCTAGAATCGTGATCAGATATTATTATTCTTTTGTTATTATGGATAAGTTTATCTGGCACATGCTCGAACTTGGGTCAAAGCTTTGATAACCTAGAATGCCTTGAAAGTTGAAGCTTGCTCGAAACTCTCAAAACATGGAATTGCTAGATTCTTTTTTTATTTTTTTTATTGAATTAATTATGAATGGATAGCTATTCTTTGTCTAAACTTTATATATATATAAAGAGGTAAGTTGAAGTGTTGTTGCATGTTTTTTCAACTCTTTTAAATTGAAATAAACAATTCTTGTAGGTTTAATCAATGCATAAATTCGTAATTAATATTTACTGCAGCTATGCTAAATATTGTTTTACTCTATATACTTTCTGGAATCTTAGAATATCTGTTTGTAAGTAGAAATGATAACGCATTCATTTTCTCAGGTCAAGGATTCGCTGCTGGAAGGATAAATTTAGGAGAAATAGAAGTCGCCAAGATTACCAAATTTGAGAGTGTTTGGAGCTGTGGTCTACTACGTGGAAAATCAAAAGGGGTCTCATTTTATCGGCCTGTTGGGATCCCTGAAGGTTTTCACTGCCTTGGTTACTATTGTCAGTCCATTGACCAGCCTCTTAGAGGATATGTTCTTGTAGGTTGTGACTCCAATGCCCACAAGCCTGAAGTTGGCCATATCCATGACTCAGAGGTAGACTCTCCTCTTAGAAAGCCGCTTAACTACTCTTTGATTTGGAGTTTGAATTCAGAGAAGACTGGTGGTGGTGGTTACTTTTGGCTGCCAAATCCCCCAGAAGGTTACAAGGCTATGGGCATTGTGGTCACTAACAATCCAGAGGAGCCTAAAGTTGAAGAAGTTAGATGTGTTCGAGCTGATCTTACTGAAAGATGTGAAACCAGCGATCGAATAATTTCCTCGGATTCAAAATCTTCCAATCCATTTGAGGTTTGGAACACAAGACCCCACAGAAGGGGAATGTTTGCTCAAGGTGTTTCTGTTGGGACATTCTACTGCAATGCCTACTTGAGTTCTGATGAGGTACTAACAGATATTGCATGCTTGAAGAATCTTGACCTCTCTCAGCCTGCAATGCCAAATCTGGACCAGGTTCATGCACTCATTAAGCATTATGGCCCTACTGTGTTTTTCCATCCGGACGAGGATTGCTTGCCCTCATCAGTGCAATGGTTCTTCAAAAATGGAGCCCTTCTGTACCAAGATTGCGGGCAGAAGGGTGAACCTATTGATCTTATGGGCTCAAACTTGCCCAGTGGAGGGGAAAATGATGGTGAATTTTGGATAGATTTGCCAGTTGATGATGCTGCCAGAAATGATGTCATAGCAGGAGATTTAGAGAGTGCTGAGCTTTATGTTCATGCAAAGCCAGCATTTGGGGGAACTTTTACTGATATTGCCATGTGGATATTTTGTCCTTTCAATGGACCAGCCACCCTTAAAATTGGTCTTATGACTATACCAATGACCAAGATAGGACAGCATGTGGGTGACTGGGAGCACTACACCCTTCGTGTAAGCAACTTTACTGGAGAACTATGGCAAGTCTTCTTCTCAGAACACAGTGGGGGTCGATGGGTAGATGCTTCAGATTTGGAATTCATTGAAGGTAATAGGCCAGTTGTTTACTCCTCAAAACATGGTCATGCTAGTTTCCCACACCCTGGGACTTACCTTCAAGGATCAACGAAGCTTGGAATTGGAGTGAGAAATGATGTTGCTCGGAGCAAATATTATGTGGATTCGAGCTTAAAGTATCAACTTGTTGCAGCTGAATATCTTGGCGATGGAGTTGTTACAGAACCATGCTGGTTGCAGTATATGAGAGAATGGGGCCCAACCATTGTGTATGATTCGCGATCTGAAATAGATAAGATACTTGATCATCTCCCATTTTTTGTTCGATTTTCAGTGGAGAACCTCGTTGACTTGTTTCCAACAGAGCTTTATGGTGAGGAGGGGCCAACTGGACCGAAGGAAAAATGTAACTGGGTGGGAGATGAAATATGCTAGCCAAGGGCCATACAAAGACTTGTTGGCTTACTAGCCTCCCTGCTATTCTCTGTCTATACTTGTTGATAGAGGGTTCGCACAGGGATAGCGTCTGCATTTGCAGAATGCGTCACCTGTCGACGTTTTCCACAGCACTTCACTATTAGCACGCTTTGCTTGTGACAAAGGCAAGAAAGATTGAGTTTTTGCCTTTAATGTAATGAAGTCCACTCATTACCTTCCAGTGTGTGATTTACCTTCTGATGGCAACATGCTACCTTTAGGGTATTCTTTGTAAAATGTAGAGGCAGCAAAAAATGTGTTGAGGTGCAGCCAGGTTGATCATGGAGTGTCATTTTCCACGAAATGTGAAGAATTTGTCAATCCCTGTGAAAGGGGTCCGGGGAGTGGGGACCAGTAAATTTAGTGATACCGTGCTATGCACTTGTTAGTTATGATTGTGATGGATGTATTTTATCACATTAACCTTGCCATGTCTATGAAAAGAAAGGTTTACCACACTGAAGTTTGAAAAGTACCTCCAACTCAATCACAAGTCACAGTCTAAACTTCACTACAACGGATGAATGTATTTGGGAAGGGAAAGTGTTAAGACTTGTTTTTCGATAGTGTTAGAAATTCGTGGAATATTTTACTAAAATAACTTTCATAACAATTACATCACAAAGGGTCGTGTCATGACCTCAGAGTTACACAGCCCTACTTCTCTCTGGTATAACCAACACTACCACAGGAGTCAAAAACATTAGGCAATGGGCAGGAACGTGGCGACAAACATTGCCTACCAAAAAGAAAGAATTTGAGCTAGCTGCTGCTTCTCTTTAGAAGCAAACTCGATTACATCAAATGTTGAAAACATGAACAGAAACGTGGGGCAGTGTTCTTTAGCTTTCCTTGCAATGACTTTGGAAGTAGCAAGGTAGGAAGTTTCAGATATGGGGGATGCTTGACACAGGCAGCTAGGCTGCTGTTACCAGCCCGTCTAGAGAAAAATGGACCCCATTTGATATGGGTGGTTTTCTCTCAAATTTAGAATCATGAGGGAAACACACTGCACTTCTACCCATCCTAATGATCTCTTATATACTTCCGAAGCCATGTCTTGCACCGAGTTAAAGGTTCTGCTAAACAAGGAGTTGCATGATGAGTATAAAATAGAAATGATCACATGCTTCAAATCAGGTTTTATCTTAGATTTGTTAAATATGGAGTTTTAATTTCCATCAAATGGTCCAGAATAAAAATTAAGCTGAACTGTCATTGACACAGATGTGCGCCAGATAGTTTTCTTTGGTTTTAAATATGGCACCTCTTGTTTTAACTTTTCGTTAAATAGGGTGGGGTTAGAAAGTTTTGAGCACTTCAGGCTGAATTATTTTACTGTTTTTAGCTATTCATCGTTGACTGATAAAAAATGGTCAGAATTGTTGTCTAAATGTTTTGGAGAGGGAGCCAAACTCGCAAGCATTTCTTAGTCACAGTGTAACACAATCAAGGTCTAAAAATAGACTTACACAACCACATTCCCCTTTCATTTCGCTGCATCCCATGAATCTCAACCCAACAAAACTCCTTCAATTGTTTCTCCAATTTCATCCATGATCATTGTGTCCCTTCTATGCTGGCGCAGAGCAAGTTTAGAGAAGAGGCCACCGTTGCTGCCCCCAGCCAACACTAGCCCCACGATCGCCATAGTAATCAAGCAACATGACTTATAATGCGCATCCTTTTCAGCTTTTAGAAATCAATGTCATATCAGGCCAAGATCTGGCTCCTGTATCCAAATCTATGCGTACCTATGCAATAGTTTGGGTGCATCCAGGAAGGAAACTGTCTACCAAGGTTGACCAAAATGGCCACACCAATCCTCAATGGAATGAAAAGTTTGTGTTCCGCGTTGATGAAATATTCATAAATGCTGAAAACTCTTCTATCATGATTGAAGTCTACGCCGCAGCATGGCTACGCGATGTTCAGATTGGATCTGTAAATGTTCTGATAAGCAACCTGTTTCCTTCCCATAACAACAACAACAAAATGCACTTCGTTGCGCTTCAGGTTCGTCGCCCATCAGGACGGCCTCAAGGTATCCTCAACTTGGGGGTGCAGCTGCTGGACACTACAATGCGCAGCATGCCTTTATACACTGAACTTAGTGTGTCTGCAGCAGGCTTCGATGACCTCATTGATGCGAAAACCATCGGTCAAAGCCTTGAAGAAAAGAGTGCAAAGTTGCGTCGCACGCAGAGTGACCAAACTGACCAGACCATCTCTGATAAATCTGGCGTAAAAGAGAGTGGTGTCAGGTCACTTGGTGGCTCGCTGATTAATTCTTCGGTGGTAAAACGAGATAATGGCAATGGCAATGGCAATGGAAATGGAAATGGCAATGGTAGCTTGATCAATGGATCACTTTGCTCCGATGTGGGGCCTTCTGCGTCTGTTGTAGCAGCAGCAATTGCTAAAGGATTAATTAAAACACCAGCAAATGCTGTTCAACACGATACAGATGGCGCAACGAGCTCAGTTGTTGAGGATTGGACCGAAAATGATAGTATCGAAGGCCTAAGAACAAAACTCGAAAGATGGAGAACTGAACTTCCTCCAATTCATGATAGTGATCTTCGGAAGATGCAATCGAAAGGTAAACTTAAGAAGCATAGACGGAGGACAGAAGGTGGAGGGCTGTTTACATGTTTCGGTTTCGGATGTGAAATTTCCATTACCTGGGGTGGGCGTAATAACAAGAAGAAGAATGGCAAGGGAAAAGTCTACCATCTTAGCTCTGTGGACAGTCAATCATATTTATGAGATGATAATGAGAGCGTGTCCATCTCTTCTTAGCCAAAACAAATGTTGGAAATAACTTGAAACAAGTCATGGTGCTAGTAAGGTTTTTTCTAATTGTCCACGCTTGTTATTATATATATTTGCAAACCTGTTTGCTGCAGTGGATAAAGATGAGGATCGCAGCCTATTAGTCTATATATTTGGAAATATCTTTATTGCTGTGTTTTGGCAGGATAGATAATCGCAGCCTGTTGTTGAACTTGAACATCATTTCCAGTTTTCTTTGCTTGGCTTGTTTTGCTTCTCCTAAGAACCCTTGCATGCTCGAGTATAAATTGATTTACAGTGAAAGATTGCTGCATTGTCGAAGAAAGCCTTAATGAGAGGGAAATAAATGCACCAATGCTGGATGGTGTTTATAAATTTAGCACCGCAAGTTGATGATCCCTTCTAACAACTTGCAAAATTAAACCAAAGAAATTTTCAAAAGCCATCTCTCAATGATCTTGACAGATGCATATTGATTCCTTTGTCCCTCACCAAACCTTCCCCTTTTCTAAACCATGCGGCCAGTAGCACCAACCACACATAATGTAGACAAATGATAGCAAGTACACTCTACAGCTATAAGTTATGACAGCTCGCAAGTAACGTAGAAAAAAGCTAACATATTAACACAGCTAGCTGCCTCTCCAGCCCTCCTCCCTCCAAACTCTCTCCTATGGCTAATGCTGATTCAAAATCCGGGCCACTCAATGAAGAATCAAGAACAATCATCGAGTATAGAGAGTGCTGGCGTAACCATGCCATGTTGACTGGTGGCTCTGCTGTTGATGGTTGTGGAGAGTTCACTCCGAAAGGTGATCAAGGCACTAAAGAAGCTTTAATCTGTGAAGCTTGTGGCTGTCATAGAAATTTTCATAGAAAACAGTTAACCAAGAATGGTATAATCATTCTTGATACTCACCTTTCACCTCCTCCATGTAGTGGCTGTCATAGAAATTTTCATAGAAAACAGTTAACCAAGAATGGTATAATCATTCTTGATACTCACCTTTCACCTCCTCCATGTAGTGGCTGTCATAGAAATTTTCATAGAAAACAGTTAACCAAGAATGGTATAATCATTCTTGATACTCACCTTTCACCTCCTCCATGTAGACTATATGGTGCTTCTATGTGGGTAGAAAAGAATGCTTCAGGGTTTCATCCATTGTCTTCCCTTCCACTCACTTCACCTTCTCCTCCCTGTTATCCACGTACCTCAGTCAGTGATCAAGAGTCTCTGGTCTACGTACCTTCTCCTTCTCCTTACCTACGCAAGTCTGAGAAGAAAATGAAGGCAAGAAAAGGGCCTAAAAGAGGCACGTTAATGCACGAGAGGAAATAGGTGAGACCATTTTTCCTCATCCACCACAATAATTTGGACTTTAAGGTTAGCTTCAAGGCCAGAGGCCGTAATGTCCCCCCGCATATATAAAGGTCAATAATTCTCCCCCCCATCATGATTTTGTTAAATAAATTTTGCCAAAGAGAATGCAGCACCACCGTAAATTATCCATTTCTTGTTTTGTCTGAGAGTTTGATTGTTTAGAAAACATAAAATTCTAGTCATTTCAAGCACTTCAATGTGTTTTTGCTGGTAAATTTTGAAGCTTGGGAACAGAAAAGTGTCTTATCCCATCTCTTCACTTATGATGCGGATTACTCTAACACCAATTATATGTTAATTAAGGAATTGATTGCCTAGATAATTTCTTAAGGGATATTTATGCTTAGAATTAAGCTTTGTTTTTCATAAATATTAAACCTCCAATACCAAGATCACTATTCACTAAGGTCTGAGCTGAATGTTAAATAAAGTTTAGTGCAAAGTTTAACCTCTAAACCAAATCTAATACAAGTCTAATTTTCTTCTTCTTTTCTTTATTTTGCTCCACTTTATATATATATATATAGACAGCTATTGCCGAAATATTTATTATCAAGAAATTTAACATATATTTACGATCCATTCTCCACAATCTATCATAATTTTTTTTTCAAAATAAAAATTTTTAAAAATATTATTTTAATAAAAAAATTAAAATAAAACTCAAGTCAAGAGTAGTTTGATGTTTCAAGCTCCTACATGCTTTAGTTTTTTTTTTTTAATGGGTCATGTGGGCAGACTTGTCCTCCTAGCCTAGAAACAATTTTTTAATTTAAAATAAACTCTTCTTTAAATTAACAATTACAATACTATTTAAACAATCACTCAATTATGTCATGTTTTTAAAATAATATTAGATATTTTTATGATTATATTTGTAATAACTTTATTAATAATTATATATAAGCATAATATTCAACAAATTATAAAACAAATTTGCATATGAATATTTAATGAAACTTATATATTTTTATTGTTATTTTTTTATATAGTTCTCACGAATTAAATGTTCTTTTATTTTTTTATACATACATATAAAAAAAAAATGAAGAGATGGGTTTTTTTGTTTAAAACTTGCATGATAAGTTTTTATTTTAAAAAATATGCTAAGAATAAAAAAAAATATATATGTTTTTATCAAAACAAATTAATAAAGAAATAAGATTTTTATGTAAAAAAAATTTTGTCCTCAATTTAAATTATTGAGATTATTATGATTATTTATTTTTAACTACCTTGGGTTTTTATTAAAAAAAGAAGAAGAAGACGAAATTCCCATAGAAACAAGAAAAATGCATAACTAAAGAAGGGAGAATTTGGCTTAAAAAATATATTCTTTCCTTTAAACTCTTATGGATATTTATCTTAATTATCATAGAACTAAATAAAAACTATTTTTGAAATTTTCTCCAGGTATCACGCAAGCATAAATCCTAGTTATAGTTCAATTAGCATAACTAATATATATATAGTTTAGATGTGGATGGCCTATTTAAAAACTGATTAGAAAGGAATTTGGTCTTAATAAGATACCTTTACGAATTAAAAATAAAATAAAGTAGGTGAAATAACCAAATCTATATCTAACATTCTATCCTTAAGGGAGTAAGATTTATCCTTTTAAAATAATATGTAATTTTGTTCACTTTTTTTTAATTAAAATAAAATGGAATCAGTCTTGAATATGACTTAATGTATAATGTGCTGAAAATGACTTTAAGCTATGAACATGTCATTTAAATGCTAAATATTTAATTGTCTTAATTCACACAGGATCAAAGATCTCTCCCTCTTCTCCCTTCTCGTCTCCCTCGTCGATGAACCTCTCATGCATTCTCTACCAAAACTTCCAATTTTTATGTAATATTAAGTCGTATATATCACTAATCATGTTAATTTGAATGGGAAAAGAGAATAAATTGATTCAACTAAGGATAATAAATTCAAAACTCATTCTATTAATCGATTAATTAATATATATAAACTAATCATTACTGTTTTTATTAACATGTATACTGAAATTTCATATGAATACATGCTTGAAGTTTTAGCACCTAATTTTATCCAAATATGATTTGGTCAATCAATATTTTTTCTTCTTCTAATGAATCTATCTTATTTCTAAAACATGTATTACAATCCTTAAATTTGTCATTGCTGATAAAAAAGCAATTATATATATATATATATATTCTCCACTAAATAATTAATATATTAATTATTTTTTTATATAATCAAAATGTTCAAGATAACTTATACGCCCCACGATCAATTCCTAATTCCTGAATCCACCTAACACTATAAATCCAATGAACAGATAATACATCACAATAATAATATGTATATAAAAAATCAAACTTGGATATAAAGAAAGGGAACAAGTTCCTTTCCTCACCGGGTCGGTCATGACCTTAAATGCATAATTAATATCTTAATTGAATGCATTACTAGTTTCCAAAAAAAAAAAATCCTGACAATTTGATATTTATAATAACTTTATGTTTTTAGGATCTACCATTAAGGTTCCCACATCAATGGTGATATTATTCATGAAAGTTGTTGATTTTGAAAAGAATAACAATATTCAAGAAATCGTATATACAAGCTCAATCAAGTCTACACTAAAAAAATGGTAGTAAAATATCGTCAGTTATATTCATAAATATACAAACATTTCAACAAGATCAAAGCAAAATACACTTCCATAACTGTCAAAACTCAAAACATTCGTACAAAGGAAGTGCATAGGAACCCAAAAAATAATCATAACTACCCTACTCTTAAATCAACCTAACCTAAATCAACTAGTTGACCTGCAAGTCGGTGAATCAACCCAAGATATGATTTTTTTTTTATACATATAAAAAGAACCAGTTCCAAGGTAAAACAGTCATAACAAGCCACCATCAAGCTAAACTCTAGATTGACAGGTTGATACATGTTTTTCATCACATGCATGTCGTGAATAACCATGATCAAGAAAACAAGCTAAAATCCTAATACTGAAATGTAATCAGTGCTTGGTTACCGAGGCCCATGCACAATAATCTAAAGGCCCTTGCACAATAATCTAAGTTGCGCATTTGAAAAGAACACAAAGGAACATGTATCTCCATATCTTGAAAGGATTAGTGGAATTACATTCTTGACGATAACAGCTTCCATAACAATTACTACATCAAAAAGGGATCATATGAGTTGAGATTTACAACTTCCCTCCAATTTATCTACAACCATCCCAAAATCCCATTATCTCTGTACAACCCCCCTCCCTTCAAAAACAAAAACAGACCGGAATGATTAGCCAGAATGAGCCCGCCAATATGACTACCAAAACAAATGAATTTAAACTTTCAGCTGCTTCCATTTACTATCAAAAAAGATTACACTAGATATAGTGTATATGAACAAAATACAGGGGATGGTGTCTTCACCGTGCTGCCTTACCCTCCCGTTTCAGATCTTCCCAGCTTATCTCCTGGGCACATTCCCCACATATAGTAGTGCACCCAGCTTTCGTTCCCTGACTTCTAAGGGTCAGCAAATGAGAGAGATTAGTACATTTCCGCTGCACCATACGACTCCTTAAAATGCTCTCGGAAGGTGCTCCATTGGAAGCCTCAGATGCAGGACGGGCCATGCTTGGCACAGGTATGCTGCTTGCATCTGGGGCAGAAGATGCCCCATTTGACATGGGTGGCTTTCGCTCAAAAGTGGAATCATCAAGGGAAACTCGATGCACTTCTTCCCATTCTAATGATCTCTTATATACTTCCCAAGCCATGTCTTGCTCCTCCTTTGTTAGTTTTTCCTCTTCATTCTCTTGCAAAAGAGTCTCATGTTCATGGTAATCAAAAATCCACCTAAAGACGAGGAAGCACATCAGACACTATGCTTTTATTAAGTGAAATAAATATATGATTGAGAATACCACTAGAAAGGATAAGTTACTATTTTATCAAGTGATTCAAAAATCCACTCCAATTGCTGAAAGAACTTATAATTGAGAAAATGGCATGTTAACATACAGATTGCACATCAAAAATCAGTTACAAATATACTCAATCAGACGGTCCTAGATCCTTGTTCCAAATTCCAGTCTTGAAGGTAAGCATCCAAAAAAGATTGAAGCTAAGCTAAGAAGTTATTAGTTCTTTTTATATAAAAAATAAAATAATAACCCCACCTCTGACGGTGCTTGCCAAGCAAGCTTTCCATCACCTTACCAGAAGCACAGCTTCCATGAGAACGAGACGCATTCTTTTTCAAAGAATTTGCGGTTTGGCAAGAAATATTCCTGGTATCTGCCTGTCTATACTCTTGGCCAATGTCAATCAGTGTGTCTGAGTTCTCATCATCACCAAATTCAAAAAGATGCAACATTTCTTCTCTGGAGATAGTCCTATATACTTGTTGTCTATCAACCACCCTTGCAGCAAGTCCTTCCTTTGTGACCTGATTAAATCATTCTCTTCATTAAAATTGCTTTCAGAGATCAGGCCAATTTAATGCTACAAGATGCTATTCTATCACCTGACGCTTATAGATTTTTTCTTCCATGGTTCCATGTGCCATTAATCTGTAAGCAAACACTGGCTTAGTCTGGCCATACCTGAAAAATGGTAACCGTTAGGTTCAATCAAGACATAAGAGGACAGGTTTCAGTTGAATGAAAAAAAATTGGTGGAACCCACCTCCAAGCCCGATATATGGCCTGAAGATCATACGTTGGATTCCAAGAGCCATCAACAATAACCACCCGGTTAGCAGCATAGAGATTAATCCCAAGAGAACCAGCCCTAGTAGAAATCAAAGTACATTTGACCCGCTTATTCTCGGGATCATTGAACCTCTCAACCAACCTTTGCCTTTCAGAGCTCTCTGTTCTTCCATCTAGCCTGTTGAGGACAGAAGAGAGGAAGTAAACTATTATTCAATTATGAAGACATTTCAAGTCCAAATCAAGAACTTCAAATCCATATTATGAAAAAGCAGAAAACCCATAAGTGAAAGCAGTTGACAGCTATATATGCGCACCTATACCAGTCTTTTCCTTTTCTCCAAAACTTTCCCTTTTTTCCAACTCGAGGTAATCTTGAAAGATAAAGCTCTATCAGATCTAAAGTGGGTATGCTCTGGGTAAAAACCAACGTCTTATCACCCACATCAGAAGACATGACTAAAATGTCAAGCAGCAATACCATTTTGCCGCTGTAATCAACCTCTTTATAATTATTTTCAAGTAGAAGATCATTCCACCAATCCTGGAAAGGGGGGAAAACAAAGAAAAACATGTTACATATCAACAAGATGGTGGGAATTCAGTAATTTCAGAAAATGAGTATAGAATAATAATCATTCAGCATTTGTTTATGTCCGTACCTTTTGAAAGAATCCATCATCACTTTTCCCTTGAATAAAATCATTTGGATTCCTTGACTTCTCTGCAAGCACAAAAAGCAATCAATAATAGACACATCATCACAAACAGAACTAACATGGGTCCAGGTGGAGAAGAAGAATGATATCCATGCATTCTTAACACAAGCATGAAGTATAAACAAAAGTACCATGTTAGAGCAATGTCTTGAGAATATCTATGCAGCTATACAAAATAACAACTACAGAAGCATTTAGATCTCCCAAGTGCTAGTTAGTTCTGCATGTTTTGTATCTCTTTACTTAACCTTATGAAGGTGGTGATTCCGGCCAACAGGCTTTGTTTCAGGAATGTAATAACCATAAAAAAATGATTTCAATCTGCTCCCACATCAATGTTACCCGCTAATAACATAATAATGGACTTACATTTAGACATGGGGAAATTTTTTTCATATTCTTGGCATGATAATATTTATTGTATTATTTCATTAGTGGATAAGATTTTTAGGTTTTGAGAAGTTTAAAAAGAGTTCAAGACACAGTTTGGTAAATCAAGTAGACTTTTAATCCAACCATTGGATTGAGCTGTAATTTTAACAAAAAAATTTGAAGGCCTTGTTTCTTATTGAGTTCAAATTTCATGATAATTGGAGATCAAGAAGACCTTCAAATAAGGCTCAAGATTTACTATGTGAAATTGTCTTTATTTACCTTGTTGTATTTGGATTATTTTCTCTATTTAACTTAGAACTTTTAATTTAATTAGCATTTTACTATATAGGAATCCTAATGCTAAATGGATTTTATTAATTAGGTAAGTATTGATTAGAAATCCTTTCCTATAAATGATTTTAGTTTTAATTAAAAATCATTTCCCATAAAAAAATCTCTTAGAACTAATATAAATAAGAGTGTTTAGTTTATTTTGAGAAGAATATTATTTTAGGACTTTTAATAAAATATCAAAGAGTTTTCTCTAAATTTCTGTACAACTTAAGTCTATAACCATAGGGCTTGAGAACCCTTGCTTTTAATCATGTTATATGCCATGTTAATTGGTATCAGAGTAGATTGGTCAATTTGATGGATGGAAACGATAGCAACCCACTCCTCGATGCAGGAGTGAAAACCTTTTGAGGCGTTGCGCAGGCTCAAGAGCAAAAACTTGATCGTTTGGAACATAGGTTTAAAGTAAACCACATCATATCTAGCTTGACTAATGGGAAAAACAAACAATAATCGTGAAAAGGTGAGGAATTTCCTTAGCGACTTACCTTGAGGCAGGAAAAACCCCAAATCTATACCTAAATTAGATAAGATTCCATTATATGATGGGAGATTTTCGAAGAAAAGATTTATCAAGTGGTTGGCAAAGTTAGAGACTTATTTTTATTTCAATAAGGTTCCTTGTCATAAAAAAGTACGACTTGTTGTAAACAAACTTTCTTATGGTGCTAAAGAATGGTGATTCGAATTTTTTAACTTTTGTACTCATATTGGTATGCCTTTAATTTTATCTTGGCAAGGTTTAAAACAATCACTAATTTTGAAACTTACACGAGATTATGAAGATATTTTATATTAAGGACATAGGCAAATAAATTATCATTTTTTGCTTTATGTTCAACCTTCTCAAAAGATAGGAAGGAAAAACAAGGAGAAGTTTGGTGAAAGCAAAATTTCAAAGTTATCAAATCATGTTAAGATAATATGACCAAAAAGGGTGCTGACAAATAGTTTTAGTCGTTTGACCTTAAATTAGAGAAGCCAATGGCAAATGATGACCTTTCAATCATGGATGAAAATCTTGCAAACAAGAACATGATAATTCCTGATAATTCTTCTAGAGATACTATGGAAGATTATCTTGGTGTTCCTTTACATACAACAATTAAAGTATTGGAGGTCATAGATGATGATGAACTCAAGTTTTAAGTAAAAGAATTTGGGAAAGAACAACAAGTGGACTTCATGGAAACAAAAAATATAACATTAGATATGGATTTTTCTTTCATGTGTATACATCATAAATTAAATTTTGAAGTTCACATGTCAAAGACATGCAACTTCGTGAATAGAATAGCTACAATGTTGTATTCGAAATATCTTTTTCTTTGGAGTGATCAGGTTCAATTTCTGACAAATAACTCGAGAACGAGTTTTTCGGAAGTAGAGGGGACTAGCATAGGGAAAGTTTTTTATATTCTTGGCATAAAAATATTTATAGCATTATTTTATTAGTGGTTAAGATTTTTAAGTTTTAAGGAGTTTATGAAAAGTCCAATATATAGTTTGGTAGACCAAACATAATTTTTAATTTGACTGTTGAATTGAACTACAATTTTAACAAAAGATTGTAAAGACATTATTTCCTATTGAGTTAAAATTTCATGATGTTTGGAGATCAGGAAGACCTTCAAATAAAGCTCGGAAGTTGTTGTGCGGTATTGCCTTTATTTATCTTATTGTATTTGGATTATTTTTCCTATTTAACTTGGAACTTTTAATTTAATTAACATTGTTACTATTTAAAAATCCTAATGCTAGATGAATTCTATTAATTAGGTAAGTTTTAATGAAAAATCATCTCCCCTAAAGGATTTTAGGACTAATATAAATAGGGATGCTAGTTTATTCTAAGAAGAAGATTATTATCAAGACTTCTAATAAAACACTAGAGAGTTTTCTCTAAATTCTTCTACATCTTAGATCTGTAACCTTAGGGCTTGAGAGCCCTAACTTTTAACCACGCTATACGCCGCATCACATTTCAACATCAAAGTAGTAATTCAGGCCAGTACATCTCACACTAAAATCACAGAGAATGAATTTCCCAATTTAATTGCCCAAGTTAGTGTGCAAGCAGCTCAGCCATGCATGCAGGCTAAAAGGACACTAGAGAAATTTCACGGTGAAAGAGATTTGCCACTGCTAATGTCATATCATATTTTTTTATGTGTAATCAGATTATACACACTTATGTATCATCTGAATAGGTGGTTACAGGTTTGATTCTGCAATTCATGAAATACACTATTTGTGCTTTGCACTGGTGGTTTCTAGTGTCTAGAAACTCTGTATACTGCAGCCTACGAGGATGATCTTAAAGAAACAATGAGAAGAAGATGGGCAGTTGAAGTGCCTTTAGAATATGTAATATGACCCTAAACATTAAATTTTGAAATTATATTTTATGAATAATTGCATATTTTTGAACACTGTAATATTTCAGCATATAGCAAATAAACACAGCATATTGAAAATAAAAAATCTGTTTGATAAATTGCCTCATTCTGAACACAGTAATAGTTTTGGATAATAGCAAACATGACACTGAACTCCAAGATTAACTTTCCATCAAAGATGGGGAAAAAACCTTCAAGGTTAACTGATGAAATTTACTGTCTTCTAGAGCATTTTGACCACAACCACAATCACTAAATACATCCACCATATATCTAGCATGCACAACTACTGATGGGTCAAACTGGCAAGCAAAAAGGATATAATGGTGAAATGGAGTACCTTCGACAATTGTATTGTAGTCCACATTTTCATCACTAGAGCAGTCATCTGCAAGAAAGTTTTCAACATTGCCAACATATTCTCTCCCTTTCCTCAATTGCAAAATTCCAGGATGGTTCCATATCTACTATGAACAATGAAAAGTTCATTAAAACCAGAGAACAAAAAGACAAATTAATTGACACATGCATCATTGAAAACTTATTCAGCCTTCCTTTTTGACATTAAAGCTACAAACAAATACAATGACAAAAGGTGCCGGATTATAATTATCTGAATATAAGTATATTTTGTTTGTGGAATCATTAGATAATTTTTTTCACATGAAAGAACCAACTGGTGGAATCATTAGATGATAATTTTTTTCACATGAAAGAACCAACTATTCACGAAATCTTTCAACAGTCAAAATGAGCTCGCAACAACAATCATGGCATTGTAGCAAATTTATATCAAAGGAATGTAGCAAATAATACAACATACTATTCCTATCACCCATGAATCCTATTCACTTAAACCTTCCACAAACTCTGTTGCATTAATAATCATCACAATGGAGCAATTTTCTATTTCACCTGTTTTAAACCTTGCAGGAAAATACAAAAAATGCATCCTGTAGTTTTCTAAATGCTCACTGCAATCTTCTTCCCAGTGTTACCAGATTCACAAAATCAATCATGTTTTATGTTTTGGAATGCACGGTCTAGATCATGGTACATTCACGGATGAGGGTGGTGCAAGATCTGGAAAATAACATTTGATGACCTATTTTTTATAGCAATGTCTTACATGCAAGAAACTAACCAGAATCCTTGCTTATTTTTGCAGAAAAATATAGTAACAGAGACATGCAAAGGGTTCACAATGTGCATTGAGTTAAGATCTTCAAGAAAAGAGTTATGCCCATCAACAATATTAGCAGATTCGTGGGACATTTAGGTCATGGTAAGGGATTCGAGAATATAAGTAGCACATATGACATTCGTGGCTCATGGGGGTAGTTAGTTAATGTACATGGGGATACATTTAGGGACTCTTCCTAATGTTTAGAAAAAAGAAAAATAAACAATTAAGGAAGATATTTTTTTAAGACAGAAAAATTTAATAAGGTAATTGGTCAAAAAATAACAACTAATTGGCTTCTACTAACCATTAATTAGCATACTACCTACCCTATGTATCACGAATGCATAAATGAGCGCATTACATTACCAAATCATGTATCACGATCCAAACATCCCATTAACATTGCTTCTACCTATCATAAGCTGATCGTGATATTTTCCTAGCAGTTAACACAAATTTGCATATTAAAATTGAAGAAGAGCCAATTTTGGTTTTCCAAGTTTTCTTTTACAATGAAAAACTATTTACTGTGCCAGAAAAACTTCAACAAATATTCTTCAACAGAAACAAATGGAGAGGAAAACCTTGGTAATTTGGTTTTGACTGTGTAAAAGATAACTGTGAAATAATAGACATAATTTCCAAAATTTAAGGAATCAAAGTCTAGATAAATCAAATCAATTTTACAGAATTTCAGACAAGGGCATTGCTTTCAAGTTGCATTGATGAGTTTTACATGCACATGGTCAAGTTTCACAATCTCTATTTGCATGTTCAAAAAAGGTCAAACAGAGTGTAAAAGACATGATATCATTATTTTTAAGTGCATGCCCTTCTTACAACAAGCACGACAGACATAATAATCAATAACAAACCTGAGCCAATGCCTGGTAACCAGCAAAAAAGCTCTTCCTCATCTTTTCATTCGAAACCCTGCCATTTGTGAACCCATGCACATCAAGGAATCTCTTGTACAATTTCCTCTGTAATGGCGAGAGCTTTACAGCCACTACAAATACAGTTTTAGGTGGCAGGTCTTTCTTCACCACACTCATGTCCATTCTTTGAACAAACCCTTTCAATTGTTCATAGAGAATATGAGATCTTTGGTTCATTATCTTTACATCATCAACCGTTGAATTAGTATGTTGTCCATTTTCTATAGGATTTTGGAAGCTGCGAGCATGAGAAAACCCAATCAAGATGGACTGGAACCAGTGGAAAGGAGAAACCAGCCAGAAAAATGCCAGAGACAATCTTACCGGTTCCGAAACTCGTGGCTGCTGCCAAGAAAACCTTCTCTTACAAAATCAACCATCTGTTTCGGATAATAAATCCTATAAGAAGCATACCCTTGACTAGAGAATCAGAATCTTTAATCATCTTGACCAACTTACACAATAATACTCCATTAGATTGTTCTGAAGAGGTGATCCAGTTAATGCTATCCTTCTCTGGCATTTAACCAGTTTCAGTGCCTGGGTTGTTTCAGCTCTGGTGTTCTTGATGATATGGGCTTCATCACAAACAAGTATATCAGGTCCATCCTGATATTAGAAAAGCAAATTTCATCAATGCAAAGTTTAAGTGTCCATGTCAAGATCCATGGTTATTCTTGAGTGATTCAAAGCACAGATTGAGTTGAATGGTTAAGGCAAATGTACCTGCAAGGCATTACACATTTCTCTAGCCATATTTCGTTCCTTCACATTCTTTCCAAGAGATAAGTTCCGAAAGGCAGAGTAGCCTATCAAGAAAACACCACCTTTAGCTCTCCACTTTGCAAGCAATTCCACTCTTCTCTCCCTGATGCCAGCAAACCCAACAGTGAATTAAAAAGTTCAGAATGGAAGATCCCCACAGAAAGAGAGAGATAGATAATCTTTATCTAATAATATACTGGATATAAGACACTGTCTTGATCAAACCTTTTTTCCAAGTAACATATTCAGGATATTTTGTTGAATAACTAACCTATCAAAAGTTCACAAGAGCCACACCTAGATTAATTAAATGCCAGTCTTTCCATTTTTGTATTTCTTCTGACGAATGAGCAACCAAAATTGAATTTCTTTCTCCAATTGCCCTCAAACTCTAATAAAACAAAATGGATCCTGACAAGTGAAACCTTATAAAACAAGCATGAAAAGTAAAGTACTCAGCTCACAGATTCGAGCATAGGCAAAGAATACATGGCATTGCCTGATCACTTGCTAGATACTATACAGATATTAGCAATCTTGGCTTTGTTTCTTATATTTGGACATCAGGTACATTTTCTATTCATTTTACAAAATCAAATAATCATGTCTTTCAATGAAAATATCCAAAAGTCATGATTTCTGCTGCTAGTTCATTGACAATAATGTCCACATTCTTTCCAAGGGATAAATTCTGAACTGAAGTTATCATTGATAATTCATATAGAAGGAGTTACACTTTAGCTTAGTTAAGAACAAATATTCTGATAATACTGCACTTGAAATCTAATGAGTAAAATCAATTTGACAATTTCTTTTGCTATACAATAAAAAAAAAAAGGGAAAAAGTATACAAGAAAACCTCGACACATCCTCCAGCATGAAAACACGGAGTGGCTTTACTTCTGAAGGTGTCCACTTCATGAACTCCTTGCGCCAGTTATGCAGCACATTCACAGGAGTCACAATGAGTGCTGTTCTTAAACCCAGATCAACACTTCTCATGGCAGTGTACAGAAAAGCTATGACCTGTAATGCAAATCGTTAAATCAAGCAAAGTAACTATCCAACCAGATTAAATGAGTATAACACTATGCTGTAAAATTAAATTATGGCATGACAGTTAGCAATAAAAGGTTCCTACTATTACTAACACTGCCACTAAAACTACAACCAGTAAACTGATTGTTCACTATGCTCTAATTTAGAACAAAATTCTATAATTTAGAATAGATAGAGTTAACATTTAATTGCAAACATTAGGACTAAAGCAAATAACTTACCTAGAAGTTGAAATAAATTGGCAAGAACTCACCAATTAACACTTACCAGATTTAGTGGCAAGCATTCTTAATACCACTCACAATACACGCCCTCATGTATTACCAATGAGAAGTGGAATGTTCAAAAGAGAAGCTGAACAGAATACCTGAAAAGTTTTACCAAGGCCCATTGTATGCGCTAAAATACAACCAAGACCATTATCCCCAGACTTCACTTTTCTAATTGACTGTATAATATTTTCCCATAGAAATCTTATCCCTGCCACCTGCAATGTCAAATCAACTTAGGTAAGCAAATTTATGGATACATTTATAATAAGATAGAAATAAAAACGAAAAATCAGAATCAATGATGACATGTAACTTTTAATACGAAAGCACATTCAAATAAGACCCCTATCCAGGTCCTCACTTCCTACACTTTAAAGTTAAACACGCCTATTTAACACCAGCTGGTGTCAAATGTGCTGGGTGTCATAATCACTAGAATAATAAGAAAGCAATTTGGGAACTGACTATTAATTTCAAGTAAGGTGGTGGGCAAAGAACCCTAAAGGGTTGTGAGCTAGGTTTGAAGCAATGTCATTACACTTTGGATACAAGAAACAGAATGCTGCAACCAACTAACAAGAGAACTAGATTGAAGTATGGGAAACTGCACAGGGATAGAATGGAACCTGATGGGCTTTCAATTTAGATGATAAGCTTGGAGGAATCCTCACAGCTTCTTCACCTTTTTCCCTCGCAACATTCACAATATAACCAGTTGTGGCATCACCAATCACTTCAACACTAGCACCTTCAGGTAAGTTTCCGCTACAGCTTGCAAACTTCATCATCTTGGATTTGTCAGAAAACTTGACTTTCAGGGATTTCAAGCGTTCTTGACGTTCCTGCATAAGATCGTAAACAATGGATAATCAGTACTGACATAACAAATTTAACCAACTCGAGCATTCGAAAGACAGAGCACCTTTTCAATAGCAATTTTTCTCTTGGTCTCTTCTCCTAATTCAGCATCATCAATGATTCTTCTAATCTTCTTTTTCTTCTTTCTCTTAGAGCTGTCACAATACAGCGTAATTTGAGAATTATGCTTGGGATAAAACATAATTTTTTTTGGATAGAATAGAATAGGATACGGGAAACAAAAATTACCAAACTAAAAAAATGAGAAAATCTAGTGAATAATTCAGAAACCTACAGCCAAAGATCTGTCTCATAATGAACACTATACCTGATTGTAACATCATCATTTGTATCTGAAGAGTCTGAATCACTATCAGAACTTGAAACCATTATATCTCCAGACCCCATGGCTTTCTCTAATTGTGATGTAAGTCTTTGTAGCAGACTTGGAGAGCAACAACAACATTGCCAACCAGAAACTGCATCCTTATACAAGTACTCTTCACCGATGTTCCTTTTTATACAAGCAGTGCAGAATAATGTTCTGCATGACTTACAACTCACCAAGTCATTGTTTCTTCCACACCATCCACAGTAACACTCAGAACAGTCAGGATCCTGCAACAAGTTCAGCACAGGAATGAAATTTTGTGGAAAACTTAATAGGATAAAAGGCATTAAAAACAACAAAAGCAACAAACAATGATGTGCTAGAAATTTTTCAATTTTTGCAAAATCAACATGATCCTAGTAAGTTGTAATAGTCTACAGAATGAAATTCAATACTTCAGAAATTTTCAGACTCCAAGCAATAAAAGTTCTAATTTGTTGTTGCTTTTGTTAAGCGTGCTGGAAAAGAGACAAATACTAGGCTTTGTCACAACCAATTTTAAGAACCAGCAGTCTTACAATCATCAGACTTCTATGGCATGTAATGATGGAGGTAAATGTTTTTTTGCATATCTTGAGTTTTTATTGTCACTTGGCAAATGATATTCAAGGAACCAAGGATAAAGTTACACCTATAATTCCATAAAGGTTAAAATTGTTTAGCTTTCATTGTTTTCTGATGGAAACTCTGTTTTGTTTTATCTATATATCACATCATCAAACACAACAAAAAGAAAGAATCTAAGTACATTATGTATGTAAAAAGAGAATCCTTGTAAGTTGATCCACTCATTAACATTATTATGATGACTAACAAGAAAAAACCTGGTTACGACAATAATCCTAGGTACTGCTTACATACATATCTATGAAGGAAATGATATACTTGAGCATTTTATAACCTATTTGAAGCAAGTTGGGTGAATGCATAGGCATTATTAAAATTCATACCTTCACATGCATTTTTTCCTCCATTAAGAATTTACAATCTTTGCAAACAATTACTTTCAAAAGTGGATGTGAGTGCACTTCAACAGCAACTTTATCACAGGCAGTGCACTGAAACTTCTCACTTGAACCCTGTGAAGGATTGCAGCCAGCAGAAGGGTCCCCAATGTTTTCTAGCAAAGTTGATTGATCCTCAATTTTAATGCCTTGTACTGATTTATCCTCCAAAATGTCTGCTTCATTGTCACTGTCTATGATAACAGTTCGAATCTTCTTATTATTGATGTTTAGGTCCTCACTCTCATTTGAACGCTTGGAACTTCTGGGTTCAGAGGCATCAGATTCTGGGAAAACTGAATTGCTCTCACTCATCAACTGTTCCATGTCAAGGTCTCCAGAATTTTCACACACGTCTTTCTTCAAATCCTTGACCTCATGATAATTGTCATCCAGAGGCACTGACTCAGCCATGTTTGTTCCCATTTCCTGGACGACTGAGCTGACACCCTAATTAAATAAGAGTACAAGAAAAAGGAACATGACTAGTCTATTTCAAGAAACATATAGTTTTACTCTAATAACCATGAGTTCACATATAGAAGGATTGCCTAGAGAGTAAATACTCTGTAGCATCTCTGCAAAAAAACAGTTGAGGTATTGAAGACATAATAGCTGAAGCATACACTGCGCAACCAATTAAATTTCCAACACCTAATTCAAACAATAATACTTTAATTAGAAACAGTTCAACTTTAAAAAACATGATAGCATCAGCATATGCAATCAATTAAATTTCCGAGACCTAGGTTGATATGGAACAATTTCAAACTCTGAACAACCAAAATTTGATAGCCTCCCATACTTCAAAGTTCATGTCAAGAGTCCCATCATTCAACAACAAAAAATAGAACCCATGGCTTAGATACCATGGAAATGACAGACAAGTCAAACAAGAAAACAAAGAATGGAAAATCTCACCTGTTTACATCTCTTAAGACATCTCCTTTGTTTCAAACGAAGTTGAAGTTTTTGATCAATTTTTGCATCATCTTCCTCTTTGACCTTTTGAAGTACAAATATAAGAACCATACAATTTATTATCATCTGAGCATAGAATCAAAGAAGCTTGACAATCACTATAATCTACAGTACATACAAATTTGCATGATGAAGACCAATACTTTTTAAGATAAAAGAAAATTATATTAACTAACTGAAAAGAATTGCAAAAGCATGTTGGACAAAAGTCATCCTCCAAAACATGAAAGCAAAAGGAATGTCATAGAAGAGCAGCCCAATCCCATTGAACCTTAGCAAAACTCAAGTGAAAGCAACTGAAGCATGAATCTCAAAGAAGAAAGCAAAATTATCCTATGATAATCCCAAGATACCATGAAGGTTTGGATTTAAAAAATTCAACAAATCCATCAAGCACCAGTAGAAACACTGCAGCTTAACCACTAATGGGGATGACAATTAATGGGAACTTTAATTGTAACTATCCATGGACACTCTGATCACCTCATCAGATTGCATTGAGTTTGGTGAGAGCAGCATTTTGACCTATCTGGCTTTAAAATGTAAGTTCATAATGTCCTAATGAACTAGCTAATCAAGTTAATACCACCACAAATAAGGCTCCAAAGAAACTAAAACAAGTAATTCAATGTCCAGAATATTAATCTGAAAACTCAAGGAAATAAAAATTGTAATATTCAATACAACAATATCGACTAACCTTTCTGTAATTTTTTCTCTGTTCCTCAGAAAGAACTAATTCCTTTTCATTTGCTATGGCCTCTGCAACAAATGGATCAGTGGAATTCCCATCAATGTCTTCAATCTCCTCAACCTGAAATAAGGTAAATCTCAAAGCTATTGCAAGTTTCTACCAAAGAGGACATTGTTAAGTTTAAACTTTAGCATAATGGAGACAAGGGGAGGCCAGCTGAAACAGATAGAACAAGACAACAAAGCAAAAGGCCAACCAATCCTGACAGTCAAGTAATTGTGAGTCAATTAGTAACTTGAAAATGTCAGTCTGTTTCTACACTACCCTAAGAAGGTTTGCTGAGTGGGTGAGGCGATATGCTTCTTGAAACTTGATTCAACATTTATATTGCTTCCTTTTGAATTGTAAGAGCAGAGAAACAGAATTGGAAAAGAAATGCCCATAAAATAAAAAAAGACATCCTAAAAGTACAGATGGTTTATACTAAGCTCGGAAAACCTGCATCAAGACAAAACATAATGAACCAATACATCAGATCAGCCAAAATAAGATGAAAACAATTAGCCCTTGTTCAGTAATATTGTGAATCGATTTTCATTCCAAATGACACAGCATGCAATTGCTGAGTGGTTGGAAAATGCTTAAGACAGAAGTAACAAAGCAGAAATGTCATAAGGTAGCAAATTATACACGCAAACTAAAAATGTCACCTCATTGACTCCAGGAAATTTAAGTCCCATAAGTGCAGCTTCCTGAGGAGTGTTGGCAAGGTAAACAGAAGCCCAATGCTTGCTGCCAAATGAAGCAACATCCTCAGAACTGCTAGTTGAGAATAGTTTCTTCATAGAGGCCCAATCTACTTCTCCATTTTCTGCAATAGCCTCACTTCCATCCATTGCAAGTTTTTTCTGCAGAAATCCACTTGCTCCCTCCTCCAATAATTTACCATGTCGTCTGAACCCAGAAAGTATATTATTTAAATGGACTTCAAACCTTGCACAATTCACCATGCTGAAATCAAGACCTTACCGTCTAACAGGCCTATGGATTTGAAGATATTTCTCAGCATCAGCTACTGTATCAGTCGTTTCCTTGGTCACCTGAGTTCCCACCCAGTGTGCCCTGCTTTTCCAAGCTTCAGTGCAGCAACTGTTTGGAGCCTGGCTCTCAATCCACTTATAAAGGCTTGGCAGCTCAATACCAGTCCCATCAAGTTGTTCCTGTTTGGCAAAGCAAGTGAATTAGGGGCAGAAAATGGACATATAACAGGACAACTTATTTTCCTATAGGAAATGATCAAAGATGGGCAGAAAACTTCACTTCACAAAAAAAAAATGGCCCAGTTTATGCTAGCAACCATATGTTGCCTGAACAGTCAGGTTTGCCATAAATATTATTATTAAACCAGAACGCATTAATTATTATGCTCCCTTAACAATTCAAAACCCAATGGTTCCGTTAATATATGAATTCTGACGAACTGTCCATACTTCATGGATTAATGGATCAGTTGGATAAAATGATTAAAACCTGGTAGCTCTTCTACAACTGATGTTGCATCTCTGGCTTGCTTAATAAGGAATATCCGTCCTAAACCAAAAAGTTTAAATTTGTTTTCTTGGAATAGGCCTTGGTTATATACTGACAAGGCCTAGGTTGGGTTTCTTTTGTTCCTTTACTAAGGTCCCGTTTGTTTAAGCTTCTAAACCGGTTTTTTGGACAAAAAGCAGGTTGAAAAGCATGAAAAGGCATGATTTGAGAAGCTTAAACAAACAGGCACTAAGTCTTGTGGTCAAGTATTTTAACTATCTACTTTCCAAAATTCTAATCCTAGAGATGCTTCAAAGCTGCTTTAAGGTACAGGGTGTGCAGGGGTCGAGCAGTCTCCATGTCCATGCAACATTCCTAAAACAGCTGATTTGAGAATTCAGCTCTGTTTAGAAAATTTGGAAGCTGCTTTTTGATTTGTGGTTACTTTCTCCATACTTGTTTTTACATCTTTTGGCCTCCTCCTCCTTCACTCCAACACGTCTAAAACAGCACTTCTAGGTAACTATGCAATCATAACTCATTTGCCTACACTACAACTGTAAATGTACTGTTCTTAAAACCATATCTGTTTTCACATGCCATCAGATCACAAACAACAGATTCAAACCTGCTTGCTACTAATTAAAATGCTCAGTTTTTCTATTTTGGTGACTCTGTTCAACATATTTATTGCTTGCATGGATGATCTCAAAACCATAACAAAATGGTAAAAAAACATGAGTTGAACCATGCACATGCTGCTACCAGCCAAATGGAATCTGCTAGAGCCACGTAAACAATAATAGCAGCCATGTCCCAATGCATAAAGTTCAAAATCTGATGAAGAAACAACAAGAGAATGCATTTAAGTTCCTCCTGAGTAAGCTTCATAAACAATGGGATCGCATCATGGATATTGAAGGATAAGAGACCAGTGAAAAATGCAGCAAGGTGTTATGTATCAAAGAAGCTTTTTGCTAAAAAAATGTTATGGGAGATATAGCAAATAATGGCCTTGTTTGGTTTGCTTCACGATACATTCACTGAAAAAATGCATTAAGAACAATAAATTTTACTCAAATTGAAGAAAGAAGCAGACCAACAAATGATAACTCTCAGTCTCAAGCTCATCGAGCACATTTTCCCATTCTTCCCTGAAAGTAGCCATCTCATCTTCAACAGCTGCCTCCAGCTAGACATAGACAAGAAAGAAATGCATAAATGATAGGCAAAGTTGATTTAACAAAAACCCCGGAAACAATTAGAAAGCAGCATAACTAACATCATCACCCTGGAGACTTTGTGCCAACTCCTCCCTCACATCACTCTCTACTTTTGCAAGAGACTCCTTTTCCAGTGCTTCTTGAGCCTCTGCAGCCTAAAGTAAGCTTTAGTAAACCTTCTAAAATAAAATTGAAAAAAAAAACCAGAATGGTAAAGTTAAGCGAAAAAAATTTGGATACCTTACTCTCAACTTCCAGGAACTCAGCAACCAACTCCTCTACTTCTTGGTCGGTCAAAGGTTCCTGCACCATGAAAGTAAAAATGAAACCGTTTGCTCTAGAAGATTGGCAGGTTTTAAACTTACAAGAGTTCAAATGGCCTTTTCTAATGGATGTACTCCACCTATTACATTAACGTGGTGTCATGGCCTCCCATTGTAAACCACTATTGTTACTCTTTTCAGGCCCACTGTCAACCTAAACCCATTCGTTCTTCTTCTTCGTGCCTTTTCTACCAAGCATGTTCATTTAAGCTTCCGCTCAACGGAATGTTCGTTAATTCAAGATTGGTCATTTGATCAATCCATAGCCACGAGACTCTTTTTTCACAAGGTCGAACTTCTGAGTTCGAACCTATAATACTAGTATCCAAAAAATAGTAACATTCATATAAACAAATAGCATACTCTAAAAACTATCAATCAACAGCAGTGTAATTAACACTTAACAGTAATAAGAAAACAGCAAAAAAAAAAAAAAGAAACCTGAATACGGGTCCCATCATCTTGTCCAGATGTAGAAGGCTCATTATCATCATCATTATCAGAATCGTCGTCGTCAATAAATGAATCACTTAAACCACTCTCAATGTCCTCAACTTCCTCGTGTTTGTCCTCCATTTTCACTCACATAGACCCTCCAGAAATAGCAATGCCTGGAAATGAAAGAGAGAATTAGCTTCGTAAACAAGTCAAGCAAAATCCAGAAACAGAAACGGCAAAACAGCTCAAACTAAACAAAATCCAGAAAGGAATTATGCTTATAATGCTGATTATTGCTTCAATATTTCAAATTTCATGTTTTATTACAAAACCCAGTAATGCTCGTTGTTTTTACAATAAAAGGTAAGCAATTTTTAATTCGAGACTGGATCAGAATCGATGAATAACAAAAACCTAAGAGAAGATTTTTGCAGATAAGTGATTTACTTGAGAGAATTAGGGCTCGAATAATCGAATGTGGTGTTGATATTCTGCTAATTAGGGGAGAGAATTTGGGTCTCCTTTTCAATTAGGTGTTTGGGTAGGGCTTTTACGATTATAAGTTTTGAGTTAATTTTAATTTCTCTTTAAAAATAATTAGTAGTGTTTTATCCTTGTACTTATATTATGTTGCAAAATAGTTCCCAAGTAAAACAAAATTACAAAAAAGTCCCATACCTGTAAATCATGATACAAATTCATAAAAGTTAAACTTGGAGACAAGACCTAGGTCAAACAAAGGACCCAGGTTTCATGTCTATGGCTAAAACATGTGTATAGTCTAGTAAATAATTTAAGGTAAAATTAAAATCAACCTGGACCCAAGTTTTTTTTTAGGCATTGCCACTTTCTCTTTTTATTTTTGTTTTTAATAATCACATATTTGGTGATTTATCATAAGATTTGATTTTTTGAAGTCTAAATAATCATAAATCTAAATTATTTTAATCTTAAATTTGTTGATATGTATTATATGTTTGAATAGAATTTTAATAATGATAATAATGGCTATAACAATAACTTTGATAATAAAGCTGTATAATTAGTGTTAATAATGATACATGGCTATAAAAATATTATATAATTTTAAAATAATAATAACAATGATAATGATACAATATTAATATAATGATGATTTAAAATAAAATAATAATTCAAAATTATTTGATAATTTTTAAATAAAATTATAAAATCACTCTGAAATATTAGCATGCATGTGCTGATGAGAAAACTATCATTGTTTTCAACAAGCTCTTGAGCTAGATAGAATATTTCTAGACTTTTAATGGAAGGTTCTGATGTAAGTCTTGGATGGAAGGCTTAGTATTTCCATCAATGAATCCAATGCTAATGATTGAAAAGTGTGTATCTTAGGGGAGTTGAGATTGTATATTGTTTCCACATATAATGACTTTAAAAGCATTGATGTAGCAGTTTTTAAGGAAAAAAATATTTTTTTTTATTTTTAATGGTTTCTTTTGGATTTATGCTACCTTTTATTTATTTTCAAGTTTTTTAGTTATTCTAGATTGATTTTTTAGTTTATTTATGAGCTGTCCACCTTTTAAAAAGCTAAACTACTAAAAAATAAATATTTTTTATATATTCAAGTAATTATGTTTATTGTTTTTATTGTGTTAATTGATATTAAAATTTAGTAATTTTTATTGATTAGTTTTTATGTTTTATTGAATAATTATGGTTGAAAAAGTTAGTCACGAAATAAAAGGGTTTCTCTCATTAAATAGACATTTAAAAACATTATATAATATTAATATGAGTAAATTATTTTATTAAATGATATTATTTTGTATATTTTATTAAATATTTCTTTTTTACCATTGACTTGATAAAAATTATATTAAGTTTGCTTGATGAATTAAATCATTAAAAGCTTGTTAAAATTAACTTAGATTTCATTGAGATAATATTTATTTTTAATTTAACTTAAAATTTAATGCAAATTAAATTATAAATTACATTTTTTAAAATTAAGAGCTTGTTATAAAATATTGTTGTGATTGTTTTTAAATAATTTTTCATGTTAAAATATATGTTAATAATTTTTTTATTTTTTAAAAATTATTTTTAATATCAATACATTAAAATATTTTATAAATATTAAAAATATATTAATTTAAAATACAATAAATTATTTGTTTTTTTAAATACTTTTAAAATAGAAAACCAACCCGCTCCTAATTTTTAAAGACGGCCGAGCTTAACAACAAGGGGCGGAAGATAGTCAGACAGGGAGGGAAAAATATTAAAAAAATGTCAAGAGCAGAGGGATCAAATGATTTTATTAATCAAGAATAAATCTCAAGGTAAACATTCTGATTTACTGTTTTACCCTCCGTTTTAAAATGAAAACCGGAAGCCAATGAACCGGACTCTCTTCTTCGTCCTATGTCCCTCATCACTCTCACTTCTTGTTTGCAGGCATCCTCATCTTGTAAAACCCTGCCAAAAAATACACAAAGTGCCAAATGACCCTCAATCTCTTTCTTTTCTTTTCAACTACACTCTTCTTTTAATTCTCATGGCTTCCTTCATCTCTCCGTCTCTCTCTCATCTCTTTCCATTGCACAAAGACCCTCCGTCACCAATCAAATACAGAATCAGAACCACAAAATTACACCGAAACAGACACAAAGCTCTCCCTTTTGTCCATAGTTTACGTGTCTTTGGGCTTCAAGGAGCTTCAAAGTGCTCCAAGAGCAGTCAAGACCTGCCTTTGGATTCACCCAGAAGGTTAAAACAAGAAAAAGAATTAGTTTTCTCAAATGGGTTCCTTTCAAAACCTGAAAAAGGTGTATTTCAATGCATCACAAGGCCTATAGTGCTCACATTGTTTTGTATTGCAATTGGGTTTTATCCACTTGGTGCTTTGCCACCTCCTGCTGTGGCTGATGTCGCGGCGGCTAGTGAAGTTGCAGTTAAAAAGAAGGAGAAAAAATTGAATAAAGAATCAAACTTGAAGGAGCATGAGTTTTCAAATTATACTAAAAGTTTGCTGGAGGAGGTTTCGAGGTTGTTGAAGCGTATAGAGGAGGTTAGGAAAGGAAATGGCAGTGTAGAGGAAGTGAAGTTGGTGTTAAAAGCGGTAAAAGGAAGGAAAGAGGAGTTGCAGAGGGAAATTATGGAGGGGATGTATTTGGAAGTGAGGCAGTTGAGGAAGGAAAAAGGGAAGATGGAAAATCGCTCAGAGGAGATTGTGGAAGAGGTGGAAAAGGAAAAGAAAGAGTATGATAATTTGAGGGAAAAGGGCGAGAAAGAGAGAATGGAGGCGTTGGAGGAGAGAATGAGAGTGATGGATGAGGAGTACACTAGTGTATGGGATAGAATTGGAGAGATTGGGGGTGAGATTTTGAGGAGGGAGACAATGGCATTGAGTGTTGGGGTTAGGGAACTTTGCTTTATTGAGAGAGAGTGTGAGGAATTGGTGAAGAGGTTTAGCCAGGAAATGAGGCAAAAGAGTACGGACAGGTAACTCTATAAGTAGATGCATTTTGAGTTTTTCTATTATTAAAATTGATTCTATTCCAGGAAGAATCAAGATAGCAAGAATAAGTGCCGTATTAATGTTCTGATAGAATGATAATAGTATTCTGCTCCATGTTTTGGTGTTCCATTCCTTTTGTCTTAAGTTAATGGTTCTCTCTTGGAATGCTGCAGGTATGGTCACTAGAATGTGATTGTAGTGATCATAAGATGTAAAATCTTCCAACCAACTTGTACTGTAAATAGTTAGAAGCTTATATTTTGCTACCAACAGGCTTAGGGGGGAGTTAGATGAAAGACTATGCAATCTTTAATGCAGTTAGGAAGATGTTAAATTGCGTACTTGGATGTATTATGTACTTAGATATACTATGGTCATATGGATTTTGGAAAGAATGATGAAAGGGAAATTGATGTCTTGTTCATGATTTTTACAAATTAAGTTGGTGTGCAAATGTTTTATTCAGCAATCGTATTGGTGCATGGCCAGAAGAAACTGTAGTAATCTCCATGCATGCACTCTGTTGATTGAGCATTCTTTAACCTATCTTCTGATATGTTATACTGCATCCCTTATCATTTATTATCTTGGTTTGTTATTTTAGAGCTGGAAATAGATATTTCAACTTACAAGTTAATGCAAGTGTGCACCTAGATTCTCCCTCTCTGTCCTTCCACTTTTACATTCTGGGACTAGTGTGTTTTCACGGGCTTCATATCATGTGTTTGTTAAATTCTCTGTCTATAAAATTGTTATAAAGTTAATTAATTCTTTGAGCAATGTTTAACTTGCTTGCAGTCAGAAAAAGAGCTCTATTACCAAGCTTCCAAGATCTGACATTCAGAAAGAACTGGAAACTGCACAAAGAAAATTATTGGAGCAAATGATTCTGCCTAATGTTGTAGAAGGTGAAGGCCTTGGGCTATTATTTGATCAAGATTCGATTGATTTTGCTGCACGTATAAGACAAGGCCTTAAAGATTCACAGAAGCTGCAGAAAGATACGGAGGCTCATATAAGGAAAAAGATGAAGAGGTTCGGTGATGAAAAGCATTTGGTTGTGAAGACATCAGCAGATGAGATTGTGAAGGGCTATCCAGAAGTTGAATTGAAGTGGATGTTTGGGGATAAGGAGGTTGTAGTTCCTAAAGCAATTCATCTTCACCTGTACCATAGCTGGAAAAAATGGTGTGAAGAAGCTACGGCAGAACTGAAAAGAAAATTGTTGGAAGATGCAGATTTTGGTAAAGAATATGTGGCCCGAAAACAGGTAGTTTGTCATCAACCAAGTAGCGTGTAATATATATTGAGATAGGTCTGGATCATATGGCACATCCAACTAAAGATAATTGAAGAAAGCAATTGAGTTTACTGAAAGACTGTAATTCTCTTGTCCTTGCAATATTGTAGGTCACTGACATGGTTCAGACTTTAGAGAGTAAAAGATATTTATAATTCTATATAGAACCTTGTGTTTGTATTGAGAGCTTTCATTTGAATAGTACGGAGTAGGAAATTGACATGTTTCATGTTTTCCTCACTATGTCAATTGTGTCATTGACAACTGGTTCTCTCATGCTTTAAGATCCGAAATCTGATGTTGGTGTTAGGTTTGAACCTTATCAATAGAGCATTTTAGATGATAAGAACTCTCTATTTTTTTGTCACTTGTTTTGGATTAACGTTGTAGATTTGTTGCTTTATCTAAAACCGGATGCATTTCTTTTTGTTAGTTTGTGTTATGAACCATTCACTAAATATTATTGCAGGAACAAGTTCTTCTGGGTCGCGATAGGGTAGTATCAAAGACATGGTACAGTGAAGAAAAAAACAGGTGGGAAATGGAACCAATAGCTGTTCCATATGCTGTCTCCAAGAAATTAGTGGAGCATGCTCGAATTAGGCATGACTGGGGTGCCATGTACATTGCACTGAAGGGGGATGACAAGGAATATTTTGTTGATATTAAGGTTATTTCTGTTTATTCTCTATGCCATTTATTCCTTTTGACCCACTATTGAAATACATTTAACCCTCTTTGTTTTTGTTCCAGGAATTTGAAATTCTCTATGAAGATTTTGGAGGGTTTGATGGGCTGTACATGAAAATGCTTGCCAGTGGCATTCCAACTAGTGTTCATCTGATGTGGATCCCTTTATCAGAGTTGGATTTGGGTCAACAGTTTCTCATGGCATTAAGGCTGACTGGTCAATGCTTAAATGGATTATGGAAGAGTAGAATTGTTTCATATGGGAGAGATTGGGTTGTAGAAAAAGTTAGAAATATAAATGATGACATAATGATGGTGATCGTGTTCCCCATGCTGGAGCTCATCGTTCCATTCCCGGTATCAATTATATGAACTCATCACTTGCCACCTTTTGTTTGTATTTATCTAGTGCTGTTATTCTCTTGATAGTTTTATAGTTACTGTTGTGTCACAGGTAAGGATGCGGTTGGGGATGGCATGGCCAGAGGAAATAGATCAAACTGTTGGCTCAACGTGGTACTTGAAATGGCAATCTGAGGCAGAAATAAATTTTAAGTCCAGAAAAACTGATGATATGCAATGGTTTTTTTGGTTTGCCATTAGATTGTTTATATATGGATATATTTTGTTCCATGCCTTCCGGTTTCTGAAGAGAAAAGTTCCAAGACTTTTAGGTTTTGGACCTTTACGTAGCAGAGATCCAAACTTCCTGAAGTTACGCAGAGTGGTATTGCTTAGACCCATTCCTGGTTCTTATAATTTGAACTTTAATATATTGGGCTTATTTCTTATCAGCATGTTGTATAGGTCATAAGCCTGGACCTATTATTCCATTTCAATGCCATTGCTCAGTTAATGATTACTATCATGCTTGTAAATAACTTATATTGATGCCTACCATCTTCATAAAACTGGCAATTCTTTAGAATTTTTAGGTTCTTAAATTAACATATGCACTGGCAATCTTCTAATTTCCGTTTACCAAGTAATGTTAGTTGTGGTGATTTTAACTTCATTCATGGTCAATACCAATTGTTGTTTTATCCCTGTTAGTGAAATACTTTTTCCTGGTCTCTCTTCTATTGAAAGAAGGGAATGGTATGGAAATTATTGGTTGATTTTGGATGACCTTTGGAACTTAGTTGCTCCATAGCACATCCACTCTTGATTAAAAGTCTAGATGCGAGCTGACTGAATAGCATTACTGTTTTATGTTAACTTGCAGAAATACTATGTTAAGTACAAGTTGAGGACCATCAAACGTAAGAAAAAAGCTGGGATTGATCCTATAAGCACTGCATTTGATGGAATGAAGGTTTATGCTCGCCACTTAATTTTTTTTTTAAAATTTAATTTAATTACGGAGAACTATTTTCTCTGACAAATTTTATATCCATGTTTGTTTGCAGAGGGTAAAGAATCCTCCTATACCATTGAAGGATTTTTCTAGTGTTGAGTCTATGAGAGAGGAAATCAATGAAGTTGTTGCATTTCTACAAAATCCTAGTGCTTTTCAAGAAATGGGTGCCCGTGCACCTCGAGTATGTTATTCTCAAGATATTACTGACATTCTGTTGTTTTTTTATATTTTATTTTGGTATTATGAATGCCTTGGTCAGCTATGCATCATTAATATGTTTCTACTTTTGTTTGTTGCCCAACACTTGAGCAATATAAATTGAAGCTAAAACAGAAGTACCCAAGCAATATAAAACATGATGTCTTGACTCATAGGTTTAAAAAAGAATGGCACTGATGTTCATGAGTCAATTAAACGAGATTTTGAATTAAAACTGGACTTTAATTATTTTGATTTTGCACAAGATAGCGATTACATGTTCATGGAGACATTTACTTCTCACATCGATATTAGATGTAGGTCTATAGTTTGATAAGTGGAATTCATGGGAAATGACTACAAAAATTTAATTTCTTTCCTCTTCTGATTCTTGTACTTTTCAGCTGAGCTACTTACCAGAATACAAGATTTGAAACATTCATAATAACTATTTCAGCACACTTGCGTGTTCAGCTTCCATTTGTTTGCCTGTTCAACATGTAGTGTAATCTGTTCAGCATACACAATATTTCAAATTACTAATTTGTGCTGCAAGGTAGATGTTCATGTGTAATGTGGTTATACCAGCTTGTGAGGTAGTTCCTTGTTGCAGGGAGTTCTTATTGTAGGTGAGAGGGGAACGGGAAAAACATCTCTAGCACTGGCTATCGCTGCAGAAGCTAGGGTACCGGTTGTAAAAGTTGAAGCCCAGCAATTGGAGGCTGGGCTATGGGTTGGCCAAAGTGCATCCAATGTCAGGGAACTGTTCCAGACAGCTAGGGATTTGGTTTGTCCTATAAGCCTTCCTGGTTATCTACTTTGACTAATTTTTGTTTAATTGGGGAATCACAGATCAATTGTATTTCTCAGAGCATGTTGATTTATTCAATGAATGCTTGGTTCAAATCTGAACTGTTGTTAAAAGTTACATTATATGCTATTATTGATTTCCCTTTCAAAGATAAATTTTATTTGGACCGGTCAATTTCAATTTATACTTTGGGCTTAACCAAAGTTAGGGGATTATTCTCTCTCATTACCCATTTTAGCATGAAGATTATATGAATGTCTGGAAATTTGACAAATTACATCTCTTTCACTATTTTATTAATCCTTCTTAGTTTTCTTTTAATTGTAGGGAAAGGTAGTTGGTTATCTTTTAATACCTTTTGAATCAATAAAGCTTTTACTTGTTGAGTGTGCCTTTGCAAAGGATGGACAGGTTTTTGGATCCTTGAATTTTTTGAAAATAAAAACTTACTTATAAGCAAGTCTTGAAGAGAAAATTTAGATGCAAATTAACACAATTACTTTCTCCTTTCCCTTTTCTTTTCCTGTGGCTTCTGTGTCTTTATCATGCAGTAAATATTCTTCATAACAAGCAAAATATGGGTTTTGCTTCATATCTACTTGAGTTTTCCTGTGTTAGATATTTGATTTCCAGTTTTTAGTTCTTCAATGATACAGAGATATGTGTTTTGCTGATTATATAATGTCATTTGTAGGCCCCTGTAATAATTTTTGTGGAGGATTTTGACCTTTTTGCTGGTGTCCGTGGTAAGTTCATACATACTAAAAAGCAGGATCATGAGGCTTTCATTAATCAACTTCTGGTGGAGCTTGATGGGTAATTTTCAGCTTCTCACTCTATTTGAGAAAACTCTGCAGTATGCTTTAAATTAGTATTTTCTTATGTAAAGCAAGCTCTTCCATACAACACTCAATGATAGATTTCAAACATCTCTTCCATTTCCTATTTTGTTGGTGTGATCTCATGCCTTTTAATATGCCTAATTGCTGCATCTTTTTCTCTGCATGTGTAAGGAGGCAAATGGTCATGGACGCCTGTGCTTTGCATCTTTAATTGAATGACTGGCAACCTGCAAGAAACTTTGAACATGTGCAGCTCTTTTTATTTCCTTCCTGGCTCAGGAGCCAGGAGGGAGGGTGGTCTTGGCTTTGTATTTGCGCAACTTCATTGAACATGAAATTTCCAATACCAAGTAGCAAGAAAAAATGTCTTATGGTTTTAATCGTAGCTGTCTATTGAATGCCTCTTTGAATCTATCCCTTTTACAGAGCATTTCACTTCTGTTCTTATATTGTGATTTTGGCCTTTTCTTTTCCTGGAAGCAATTGATGCAGAGATATCTGTGACTGACATATCTTGGTGGTAACCATGAACTGAAAAACAACTACAATGAGTTTAATGAGAATTTGATGGAATCACTGTTAGGTATAGGAAATCTCTTTTGCAAGGATGTCCATTTTTAAAATTTTTAGTTTTGCTTCTGAACTTGAGGACTTAGAATGCTCACTATCCTCTCGAGCACCGAGCTTCTTCTTTCTTCAATTGATCCTGCAAGCCCTTTTCTCTTGTTGATTTGCTTGACTTAGTCTTTTTTGCATAATTTCACATCAATTTAGTCCTTTAGCTTTGGTAACCTTTCCATTTAAGAGTAAGATCTGCTGGTTAATTTCTGCTTGGTGTAATGGTGAAATTCTTGAGTTTGCAACCACAATGCAAATATGCTGAAGGCAAGACTGCCTTTAATAGGTTCTGGAAGATTGTAATTGGTAATGGCCTTTAGTTATTATCAACACATCAGCACATGGTATTTGCTTTCACTTGTGTCATCTCTTGTTTCTCCTCGTACCAGCATTTCCCATCTCATTGTTAGGAAACCAATATTTAGATGCATCTTCATATATCTTCTCCATGTTCATCAATAGGATTCTATCACATTTTAGTCTATCATTCCTGTTAATGGCCTCTAGTTGGTGCATTTGCTTTGCATATTGCAACATAACTATGATTTGATTTAGATGGGTGTGAAATGCAATCATAGTTATACCATCTATTTGTATATTCATGTTACCTTTAAGCACATTACAACTTTTAACCTGGATACTCTGATTTTATTTTTTTGGTTCAACAAGAGGCCCAATGATCCTTGGGATAAACAGTTGCAGGTAGCCCTCCCCCGTCCATAAATCCCACCCAAGCCTTCCAGGGTTAGAATGTGGAAATCCCAAGCCTTAATGGCCAGCCTGTTCCCCTGGGGATATTCTTTGTGATTTTGCAAGATGATGATTCTATCTTTTTGTTGGACCATTAGAAAGATAGCCAAGTTTTATATTGTCAGCATCTTTGTTACATCAAAGTATGCATTGTACTCTTCCAGGTTTCAGAAACAAGATGGCGTTGTTCTGATGGCTACAACTAGAAATATAAATCAAATTGATGAAGCCTTGCAGCGACCTGGACGGATGGATAGAGTATTTTATCTACAACAGCCAACACAAGCAGAGAGGGAGAAGATTTTACACTTAGCTGCTAAAGAAACCATGGATGAAGACCTTATTGATTTTGTAGACTGGAGAAAGGTCATTCCTGATCAGTGTTGTGTGTGCGCGCTTGCTTGCTTGCTAATGCATATAAACAGTTATTGTGATGGATAAAGAAGTGCAATGGGAGCCCACTAATTTGCTTATGGATTTTATTGTGGTTGATTTGCTTGGCCTTTGAAGATCTCATAATTTGACCCTGTTCTGGAGAACTTTTTCTCTCACCATGGGTCTTTTGGATACATGTATTCATGTTTGGACCCTCTGCATGAGGAATGCTTTTTTTGTTTGAATTATCACCTTTTGCTTCACTTTTAATCATCAATCCTAATTTATAGTTTTACAGAAAGTTTCCTTCTTGAAAACCAATTTGTTTGATGAATTTTTGCACTACTCAGTACTTACTTTTCCTTCTTTCATTTGAATTCTACCGAGCTTGTCTTAAATATCAACTTTTACCTTTTTCAGGTTGCTGAGAAGACAGCTCTTTTAAGACCAGTAGAATTAAAACTTGTTCCTGTTGCTTTGGAAGGTAGTGCCTTCAAGAGCAAGTTTCTTGACACGGATGAACTCATGAGCTATTGCAGCTGGTTTGCGGTAAAGAAATAATCTCCATTATTTCATCTTTATACATATGTATAATGCCGTCACTAGAGTTATTAATTTTTTTGCTTCCGTTTATCATTGAGTCACATATAGCTCCAGTATATGAACAAATTCATGCTTTGTTTGGTTCTCTTCACATATTAGTAACTTCTTGTTCCTTTTTTCCCCCCTTCAAGTTTGATATTTATTTAATTTGCCTTATAAGCATTTTTAGTTAACAGGTTTGTAATGTGGTCTTTGCTCGTTTTTTTTAATGATTTTCTCACTGATATGGGGATGGTACTTAATACTTTTTGTAGACTTTCAGCTGTTTGGTTCCAGATTGGGTTCGGAAAACAAAAATTGCAAAGAAGATGAGCAGGATGATGGTGAATCATTTGGGACTAACATTGAGTAAAGAGGATTTGCAGAACGTGGTTGATCTAATGGAGCCATATGGTCAGATAAGCAATGGAATAGAACTTCTGAATCCTCCACTTGATGTAAGTAATTTTGTTGGCTTTTGAAGGTTAAGCTTTTGATAAGCAACTGTCTTTCCTTTGGTGATGTCTTTTCCTCGTCTATGAATTTAGTCAATAAATACCTGCTTTGCTTTTTGTCACGCACCAACAATTTATTTTGCCTTTTGATCTGAAATTTCCTGGATCCATTTAAATATATTTTTAAAGTAAACTATTGAATAACTGGTGATTTCCTGTTTTCCATTTCTTTGCTCCCTGCTTACCTTTACTGTTCCACATGCATTAGGTAACATAACTCATGTCCTAACCTGATTGTGCAAAAGACATTATGAAAGAATCGATAATTTCTGAATGCATTTTATATTTTCATAAATTAAGCCTAAAACTTGTGCTATAAACAGAGTTCAATCCCTGTGATATTTCTATTAGATGAACAGTAAGGAATTTCAGCCCGTTCCATGAAAAAGATATTGATGATTTTTCTAAACTTCTGTTAAGTAGTTGCATCTCCAATCAGCAGTGAATGAAGTTTTGTACGACTTATGTGGTGTATAAGCCTCACCACTTCCTGGCAGTTTATAATCTTGCATGGCCATGTACAGTATAGGAGCTTTCAATTTACTAGATTAGGCTTTCTTCTGTGAATGGTTCAACACCTCAAAATTTAAAAGTATAACCAGTCTGTTTTAGAGAAGTTATCCATGTTATAAACAAGGGGGTGCTTCTTACCCTGCTATGTCAAAACTCAAAAGCAACTTGATGGTATCACAAAGAGGGCAGCTTGGTCTTAATAAAAGAAGCAAAGATCAACAAGTATTCCCTTCCTTTTCTTCTTCCTTTTGATTTTGTAGGAAACAAGAAACACATGAATTTTACTATAAATTTTGCTTGAGATAAGTCAGCATCTCTTGTTTTGGGCCATGCTTACAACCATGTAGAAATGTTGTTTCTTTATACTGTCATGAAGGTTTGAATTAATCGGATATGGTGCATGGCAGTGGACAAGGGAGACCAAATTTCCACATGCTGTTTGGGCTGCTGGCCGTGGTCTAATTGCCCTTCTTTTACCCAACTTTGATGTGGTTGATAATCTATGGCTGGAGCCATGTTCTTGGCAGGTGAGTCATTTCATATCTTCTAGTGAAAGAGTGCATGTTAACTCCGATAATCAATGTCAATTGATTTGAAGCTCCATTGTCATTCTCCTTATAAATTAAAATGATGAAAGGTCATGAATTTTGAGCCTAAGCCAAGTTTGTACAATGTCTCCAAGAAATGTACAACACATCTTGCCTAAGCTAAGGCTGCACGGTGTCTTTGATTGCATGGCAAGTTGCCTGGTTCTTTTATCCCTATGATCCTTCCACATTCAATTTATTTGTTGTCTTAAGAAGCTGAAAATTGTACTGTTCCATGCTTAGGTATGGTTCAGATGAATGCTAGCAGTGAAACTCTTTCGAAGCTTTGAAAAGTTTTACCTGTTCTTTTTGCAGGGTATTGGATGTACAAAGATTAGCAAGGCAAAAAATGAAGGTTCCTTGAATGGGAATTCAGAATCAAGATCATACCTTGAAAAGAAGCTTGTATTTTGTTTTGGTTCATATTTATCATCCCAACTACTACTTCCTTTTGGGGAAGAAAATTTTCTCTGTTCTTCAGAATTGAAACAGGCTCAGGAGGTCAGTATTCATCAGTTAATAGTATCAACAGATTTTATAATTCCATCTGAGTAAAGCATGCATCATTGTCTATTTGCTAATTGCAACAGATAGCTACAAGGATGGTGATTCAGTATGGGTGGGGGCCTGATGACAGTCCTGCAATTTACTACAGTAACAAAGGGGTATTCCCTATTCTACAACCATGAATATATTGGTGGACAGAAATTTAAGTTGTTGCTCAAATTTATCACTGTAGACCTTGTTTTGTTACTAGAGTAATGTATTTGCCATGTTACCCTGGGATAAGAGGCTCAAACAAACAAACATGGCTTTGTTCCCACGATGTGGCCTTTATGTTGGCTTGTACATATGATTAGCTCTCATGATGCAAAAAAGAAAAAGAAAAGAAAAAAAAAAAAAGAGGACAGCAATCTTATTATTCTTGGCTGATTTAAAAGCATCTAGTATGTATGGTACTACTATTAGAAAAAAGGTTGCCATAGTGCTATTTCCTTGTTGGATTTATTTTTCTTGCCATTGGTGTAGGTTACATTTTTAAGCACGGGGAACAGCCATGAGTATGAGATGGCAGCTAAAGTTGAAAAGGTATGTTTGTCATGCTTCCTGTGGTGAATGCTTATACTTTTTTCTTTTACATGGCAGCAGTGTAAACATCATTTACTGAAGTAGTTGTGGTTTGGATTGAGATATTCTGCAGCTTTACGATTTAGCATATCTTAAAGCAAAGGGTATGCTTCAGAAAAATCGAGGAGTTCTTGAAAAGATTGTTGAAGAATTGCTTGAATTTGAGATTTTATCTGGCAAGGTAAAAGCTGTTACCCTAAAACAGTTTAAGCTTCTCTGCTGACTGTAGACAGCACTGTTTCCTTGTTCAGTCTCCAACTATCAATCATTTAAATCTCCGCCTTGCCCTTCTTGAGCAGCTTTGAAAAATTTGAGAATTCTAATATCAAAGCATTTATATCAGGCTGCCTTTTCGGATAATTATTAACCAAAAAACTAAAAGAACTGGGTTTTAATATGGCTCTTCACTGTTCACCTTTTTTTTTTTCATATATATTTTTGTCCCCTTATTTTTTCAACTTTTGTCCTTAAACTCTAATTCTTTCAATTGAAGTACAATCTAATTAGATGAGATTAAGTTTGATATTGTGGTATAAAGACCAAATTAAAAGACAGGATTGAAATGTAAAACACAGAAAAAATATATGGTTAATCTCAAATTCATGTCAATTTTTATTTTGATTCAAAATTTTATTGTTTATTTTTCAATATTTGAGTTTGAGAGAGGAGAGAAAGTTGGTAGAAAACAATGAAAGAAAGAGTTATTGGCTGCCATAGTTTTGACAACCAAAACAACCAAGATTGGTGTCAAAGGGTTCCATTTAACGAGAAAAGTTCAATGGTGGTGGTTTTTGGCCTTCATCTTTCTTGAAAAAGTAGATTGAGGTTTGTTTGGATTTTTTGAATTCAATTGATTTTTTATTTTTAAGTGATTTTACAGTGTTTTGGAGTTGGTAGGTGGTTTATGGAGATTTCTATGGTGTTTTGAGGTTTTTTCTAGTAAAAATGACTTCAAAATTGGGGTTATGAGATCTAAAAATTAGAACCCTGATTTTCTAGTCACCTAGACATGTCACTTGATTCAAAAAAAGAAAAAAAAAAGAAAGAGAAGAAGGAGGGCTTGAGCTTTTGTATATTAGCGCTTGGCCTCTTTCTTTTGTTTTGTTTTGTTTTTGTTTTTATTTATTCTTTTCATTAATGTTTTCCATTTAAATAGCAATTTATGCCCTAACTCTCATTTTTGAAATAAATTGAACTAGTTTTATTTTTAAATAGTGATTGATCTTTTTAATTTTTATTTTTTTAGTTGCATGATACTTTAAAGAGATTTGTTTAATTTCACGGACTGTTTTCTATTTATATTTTATATGAATTAGTTATATTTGGATGATGTTTTTATAAAAATAAAAATGATTTGTTATCAGCATCTACAATTACCCGCTAAGATAAAATGAATAAAAACATTTAAAATAAAAGAGCTGTTAGTGTAAAATATTTGCATATGCATCAATCTTTTATTTCTATTATGAAGATTATCTTCTTGCTTTAATATTAAATCAATGTTAACTTTTTTGGATTTATTAGTTTATATACATTTTTAATTTATTATTTAAAGAATAAACAATATTTTTTCATTGCTCAATTAAAAAAAATTATGATACATAAAAAACATACGCATGACGTAATTATTTTGTTCCTTTTACATTAAAAATCAACTTAAAATTCTACTCATAGCATAGCACAAGTCGATCATCTCACTAAACTTCATCTGTTAAACTAAAATTTTTACCCAATTTTTCTATGTTAATTTTTCAAATTATTCTGATTAAAGAATAATTGGATCATCTCAACAAACCTTTGTATGTTACTGCTTTGCAGTGTAGGTTTTGTTGATGTCACTTGAGCCTTTTAATATAAAAGTTGATTCTGTTTGTTGTTATCACTGTATTTTTAATGTTAATTAAGATAAAACTTCATTTTCTTTCAGGATTTAGAAAGGATGGTTGATGATAATGGTGGCATTCGGGAGAAAGAGCCCTTTTCCCTTTCCCAAGCTAATTATACAGAGGTAGGTTTCAACCCCCTCCTTGTTTCTCCTTGAGGGGAGGGGAGGATTGCAAATTTAAGAATGTGTGTGCAAATTTAAGAATGTGTGACTAAAATTATTTACTTTGAAGATGCTTTGTTGTTTCCACATTAGAGCTGCTCCAGGGTATAGATAGGTATTTCTTCGAGATGCAGAATGATTTGGAAAAATTACTTCATTTCCATAGAAATCCCCCAGCGCCTTCAAAATAGCATAGAAAGAAGGCCTTCAAAATAGCATAGAAAGAAAGCCTCGAGTTTCAGCAGTCTGCATTAAAGACACATTAATCCTGGGATTGAAATAATCTGGAATTCTGAAGTTAAAAGTAAACATGTAAAAGTTTGATGGTCTCTGCATGAAACAGAAATGATGCATACTTCTTTAGAAGTTGGTTAGACTCATAGACTTCTAGATTTGCACCTGTTATAAAAATTGGTTTTTTTCATTTCATTTTTGCAACGAAATGATTTTCCTTATTGTCTGTGTTTTGAGTTTACTGCCTGCATTTGTGTATATGTGGACTAATCCTATCCATAATATTTTCAGGCATTGTCTAGCACCTTTCTAGATCAAGGCAATGGAGCAGGACCTGCTCTTTTAGGTGTATCTACCTAGGATGAAGGGCCAATTTTTATTACGAGTTTAGTTTGCCGCACGTCTTAATAACTTAATTTAACAGTGTCTTTCTGACATTTGAAATATCACAGGAAGCAGGCTAGGGTTGAGAAGATGCCCCGCTGTTTTCTCCCTTCTCAACTGTTAGCAATCTCAATCTTTTTGGTTAGAGGACATTTGGCTCCTCGCTTTCTTTGATTTTTCAGCAACAGGCAACATATTAGAAGGATTAACTTTTTGCTTCACCGTATTCCCCTTCCATATGATTGTAAGCATAAAAGCCAGTGCTTCGAATACAGGGATGAGCTTGAAGAGTTGCAAAAATTTTATAGACATGGAGGCCTCACCATTGAAATTTTAGTTGAGGCTTGTAAAGAGCATTTTAATGCAAATACCAATGATTGCAGAATAATCTTATTATGGGACTTCAATTCTGGATTTACATGATACACCGGAACGGATCTATTTTGAAGGCTTAATAAATAATCTGAGCAGTTCATAACAATTTGCAGTGAAGTTTAACATCTGCTTATTTTATTCCTTAAAGACCAAATGAAAGTATGAACATTCATGTAGATTATATCTGCAACTAAACTCATGGAACAAATTTGGGAGTGAAAGTAAAAAGATACACATTAAAAGAAAAAGGAGTTGCACAAGAGCAGTAGCCTGAGGATATTCTTCCTATAGAAGGCCTGTTACAGGCGAGGTGCTAAAGATTGGCCTCTCTTCTCTAGGATTTTGTACGTTGTTATGGCAAGTGCTCTTCCTTCGAGGCTTTGCCTCTCCAAGCATTGTTATGACATCCCTCATAGATGGTCTGTCCTTGGGTAGTTTAGCGGTGCAGAGAATCGCGATACGGAGAACAAGAAGCATCTCTTCCTGCACATGCTTGTATTGTCCTGATATGCTGTGGTCTAGTGCTTCTTCTAATGCTCTATTGTTTCTGATCTTTCTTCGAGCCCATTCAACAATATCAACAGATTCTTCAAATGCAGGGTCTAGTGGCATTTTTCCTGTCAGAAGCTCCAAAAGCACAACCCCAAAACTATATATATCACTCTTTTCATCAACCTTCAGAGTATATCCATATTCTGACACGAGAAAATAAAAACATCAGTAGCAGTCCAGATTAGCAATATGTAATTCGAGTTTTTCTTACTCCTGGTCTTGCAACCCTAGGCCTAACATGTGAATGGATGGATATGAGATGATTGTCTGGCAAACTTCTTTGATGAAATAATTTATGGTTCATGCTCAGACAAGATGTCTGAAGAATAGACAAGCAACTTACCAGGTGCAATATAACCATAAGATCCAGCCACCATTGATACGGTCTCATTCTTATGACTTATCATCCTTGCCAAACCGAAATCCGCTATCCTTGCCTCTAGGTTTGCATCAAGCAGGATGTTGTTGGACTTGATATCACGGTGGATGACTGGTGGGTGGCAATCATGGTGGAGGTAGTTCAGTCCCTGTGCAACTCCAACTGCTATGTTGTAGCGTGAGACCCAGTCCACCAACAAATTTCCAGCTTGTTTACCGTGTAAAGCTTTTCCCAGGTTTCCATTAGGCATGTACTCATAAACCATAATCACATCTGTTTCATTATGAAGATACCCTAATAGCCGCACAATGTTTCTATGCCGAAGCCTCCCTAAGAGACTCACTTCTCTGAATAGATCATCGCCATTCTCGAGGTCTGTTTCTGTTCTCCAAAGCTTCTTCACGGCTACAATTGCATGTGGCCGATGAGCCTCAGCCTTGTAAACAATGCCCGTCCCTCCCATGCCGATGATATTGGATTCCTTAATGGAAGCTAGTATATCACTACTGGTGAAACTGATTCGCTGGAATGCTACTAATGTCCAAGGCCATTCCTTGTTGCTCTTGTTATGCCAATCATAAAAGAAACTGTTGTACAAATACCATCTTTTATAAAGCCATCTCCCAGTGAAAAATGCGATTCCTAGAGTTAAGATGATTGAGACTCCGATGATGAATCCCGTGATGACATGCTTGATGCGCAGATTCTCCTGTTGCTTTGATGCAGAAGAAGTAGTAGAGCAGGGTGGAAGTACGCCGCCACAAAGACCAGCATTGCCAATAAGATCATTAAGATTTATGGTCGTCAGCATACCATTGGAGGGAACCGGACCCTCAAGCTTATTGAATGACAAGTTTACCATTTCCAAGGCTGGTGAGGTCCCAAAGTTCGCTGGGATCCGACCAGCAAGAGAATTGTTGGACAGGTCAAGAATGGCCAATGTGGGCATTGTTGAGATTGCTTTTGGGATCTCCCCAGTAAATTGATTGTTTTTCAGGTTCAGATTCACCAGCTTTTCACATGAAGCAATGCTTTCAGGGACTTCTCCAGAGAAATGGTTGCTTGAAAGGTCAAGAAGTGAAAGTGATGGGCACTCTTGGAACTGGACTGAGATTTGGCCTTCAAAGTTGTTGTTGGAGGCCATGAATATCTGAAGGTTTGGAAAGGAGAGAATGCTATATGGGAGAGATGATTCAAGGTGGTTTCCAGAGACATCAATGAAAGAAATCGATGTGGACAAAGCAATGTCGTCTGGTATTTGGCCAGTTAGATTGTTGTTAGCCAATTCCAGCCTTTGAAGTATTGGAAGACTTCCAAGACCAACTGGAATTGTCCCAGAAATAAGATTATTTTGCATGCGAACACGTACTAATGACTTACAGGTTGAGAGACTTGTGGGGATTGGGCCAGAGAAGGAATTGTTGAAGACGATGAGTTTAGTGAGATTGCCAGAATGACACAAACCTGGTGGAATCTCACCTGACAATGAATTTGATGACACATCTAACCATTGCAAGGGTGAGTTCTGTCCTAGATTCTCAGGCAAAGGACCAGTCAGAAAATTCTTCCATAGCTCAAGCACCTCCAGTTTGGCTAGCTCACCAAGCTTGGTAGGAATTGTACCCTTCAGTTGATTGCGCATCATATTCAAGAGCTGCAGATTCTTCAGTTCTGCTACCGCCACTGGGATCTCTCCTGAAATCTGATTATCCGAAAGATCCAGGAATGCAAGGGATGTAGCATTACCCAGTTCTGGTGGAATCTTTCCTGTGAAATTGTTCTTGTACAGATAAACTGTTGCAAGTTGCTTTAGCCTACCCAATTCAGCAGGAATCTGGCCACTGAGTCTGCCGACTGCAAAGTCAAGATACTGAAGACTGGTAAGGTTTCCAATCTCTGCTGGGATTTCGCCTTCGAACTCATTGTATCCAAGAATGATGGTCTCTAGAGAAGCAAGTTGGCCTATCTCTCTCGGAATCCTTCCGGTCAGATTATTACCAGAAAGGCCGAGAAACTTCAGTTTCTGCAGATACTTGAAAGAACTAGGAATTGAGCCTACAAAGAAGCTCCCTCGAAAATCTAAGCTTTCGAGTGATGTTGCATTGCCAAGATCTTCAGGAAGATAGCCTGAGAAGTTGTTGCCTGATGCATTGACTGAAGTCAATCCAGAGGCCATTCCTAGACCAGTGGGGAAGCTGCCAATGAAGTTGTTCTGACTTACATCAATGGTCTTCAATGAGGTGAGAGTTCCTAGTGATTTTGGCAACGAAGAATCAAACCCGTTACAAGAGATGTTGAGAAAAGAAAGACTAGGCAACTCCTGAATATGATATGATACATTGCCACTGAGATTCATGTTGGAAAGGTCAAGCCTCTCTACAAACCCCTTGGAGTTGCACCGTACTCCAGTCCAGTTACAATGGGGAGACCGATTCCCAGCTGCATTGCCTGGCATTTTCCAACCCTTTAGTTTATTTGACGGATCAATCAGGCTAGATTTGATAAACAACAAAGTTGACAATTCATCATACTGTACACTTTGAACTCCCTCAACAAAAACAAGAGAGAAAGCAATGCAAAAGTCGAAGAACAGCAAAAGGGTTTGCATTTTTTTGTTCTTTTGAGTTTGTTCCCTTCTAGTTGTGTGACATTTCTGGCTCTGTGGAACAGAGAGGAGGAGTGTGGCAAGAGGATGTTATATGAGAGAGGAAGAAGTTAACCAGCCAGCCTGCCATAATTAATGAACAATGATTATTAGTTTAATCTGTTTACGTGGGATCTTGGCATCAGAACCAGCTAATTATCTTCCCTTAATGAGTGTGAAGGTTTGGACTCATTGCAAATCCCCCAGACACTAAAACATGGAAAGAATGTGTCTTCAGTGATATAGCTGTTTATTCTTTGCCTGTTGATTATATTATCGATTCATCTTCATGGTCAACCCAGCTAGGTAATTAATAACCTAGTAAGTAATGATGATTTATTTCATTCTCGTGGACATTTAACTGAAACTGAATTGTACTTATCTTCTGTTAATCTGAAATATGGTATATTTTAAGATTGTAAATGCTCTGAGCTAGATTGCTCATCATGACCTTTGACTACTGCAGGTAACGTGAGCATTTCAGTGTTTACTGAGCACACTCGGTTATTGTTCTTCAGAAGTTCACAAATAAAAATAGAAAAGGTAGGAAAAATATCTTTAGTTTATAAACTTGCAATATAATAAGAATATGATTACTTACTATCATAATAAAAAGACTATCACACTTACTAAATAAATATGCAAGTTTTCATAGATATTAAATACATAATATTAAACAAAACTAAAAAAAATACTCGTTGAAATATTTTAAAATTAATCAAGCTCAATAATTAATAATTTTTAAAATTTTTATTATTATTCTTTACTTTGTGCAGAAAAACTTTTTTAATACATCTTTTAGTATTTCAACAGCAACATCTTAATAAAGTATATTTCTAAATAAGTTCTAATAAATTCAAAAAAATTATATTAAACATCTTTTTATAAAGAATAAATTTAAGCTCTTGAGTTAAAGGAAAGAATAGAAAAACACGTATGAGAAAAACCATCAACAAATCAAGAAATTTCATGAATTCTTTTTTATCCATCCAAAACACTAATTTATATGACTTGAAAACCAAAACATTAATGCTTATAATTTATTAATCTTTATAATTCATAAATATGTATTAATTATGATAAATGTTCATGGTTCATGAAGTGCTCATAATCCATTGTTTATGATTTGTAAATGTTCATGAATTACTTATAAATAAGAAAATGAATATTGCATCATCATCAAATTCATGCTTCTGTGCTCCCACCCCTTTTTTTCCCTGCTAAAACTCAGGGAAAACAGCAGGTGATGGATATGGTATACGAACAATTCAAGCTAATCCACTCTGGCCATTCTAGAGCTGGTTCTCCATGCATCATTACAGAGTCAAGCAAACATCAAATTCAATTATTTTTGCTTATATTACTAGGGTATTATCATTCTATTTAGCTCATCAGGATTTATTTGGCACAGGAGAATCTCTCCCCCGTGTTACAAGGTCGAGGGAAGAAGAAAATGGAACTTCTCTCTGATGGTGGGTCTCATGGGGGAAGTGTTTCTCTGCAAAGGTGATAGCCTCGATAATCATTGCCTTCGCCTACCAAATGCCAAAGCATGATTGCTGCCTCTTTCCATGTCTGCACATGCACTTACCTGGCTCATAGCCATTATTACATGATTTAGAATATTAGCCTCCAAAGCGTAGGAAGGTCCTAAAGTTCTAGCAATTAAAAGGTAATAATTCAATTCAATATGCCCCCACAAACACATGGTGGGGGGGCTGGAGGCCATGTGCCAAGGGCAGCTTCTCAGGGAAAGGGCTCGAAGTCCCCCCAATATTCTTGCCATGGGACATTCTCTCACATTACCTTACAAGCATATGTATACTGTTCATCTTTTTTTGCAATATATTTTTGCCCATTTCAGAATCAACTAGAGGGTGCAAGATTAGGTGCCCCACATGGCTTGATGCCAAAGCAGCCGCCGCCACCACTACAGAACATTTTTTTCATCATGAGAAAATTGGTGCCTCACCAAGAACAAAAAGAAGAAGAGGAATCATGGGGATGGATGGGATGTTAAATTTAGGATTGCATGTATGAAAAGTAACTAGGTTGATGTTTAGTATTTGTTTGATATTACTTTTGGTTGTTCTATTTTGTGTGGCCAAAGTTTTGTTGATAACTTGTTGGGTATTCATTGTGATAGTTGTTTTTTAAAATAATTTTTAATTATAAATATATTGAAATAATATTTTTTTTTAAATCAAGAAAAATATATTAAAAAAAATTAATGAACCAAAAATAAAAAAAAAATATTCGGCTAGTAGGTGAACTCATCAAACTTATAAATCGAATAACTCGAGTTAATATGCCAAACTTGTGAATCAGATTATGTATTCTAGTGAGATTATATTTTTTTCAAAACTATTTTTTATTCAATTACATAATAAAAAATACAATTGTAAAATAAAACATCAACCTAGTACTGAAATATTGCAAAAAAATAAGTGACAAATAAAGATCAAAATATTTAACATTGCAACACAAATACTTTATCTTATCATTTTTAATGAATTTTTCTATCAAAATAAATTTGTAATAGAAAAATATATAAAATTTATAATAAAAACTGCTTCACATAAAATTTATTGAATCAAAACAAAAAAATACAAGGGTGCACATATGAGAAATATTTTTAAAAAATTAATCCTCATGAAATTAAGAAAATAAAAGATGAATCATACTCACATCTTTAAAAACTAAACACACCTAATATCATTAAAAAAAATAATCACAAATGAATTAAAATATAAACCAAAAATTTATTTGAAAAAAAAATCAACCAATGCATTATCTTTTTAAATCAAAATTAAAAAAAAAAAGGAATCAGGCCACTATGATGCTCGAAAAAATAAGGTCCTTTGTTTTTTTACCCAATAATTATTTTCAACCTATTTTCATCCAAAAAACCTAAGAAACACCCTAAAAATCTTGTTAAACTAATTCATGATTGCAAAAAACATAAAAAAAAACCATAAAACCCAAGATCCACTTGCAACAAAATATTTCATGAGCTCAGATTTTATTTTTTAGGTGTTTTTAAGGTAAAAAAAAACATAATCCTAACTCTTTCCATCATATGGAATTATTTGACTCGAACAACGACTATTTTAATGGTCAGATTCCTCACCAATTGATATCTTTTTTGTTTTAAGCTAGAATCCAACTATCTCATTTCTCTTTTCCAATAAAAAAAGGATGAAAACTAAGTAAAATAAAGTTTGGCATCAAAATTAAATTTTATAAAATTAAAGGGACTGATTACTTAATAGTTAAAATACACAAGGGACTCAAATGAGTTTTTGATTGAAATTTTCAATTTGCCATATATGTTACTTGATTTTTTTTAATCTCTTTTCTTTCAATTTAATCCTCCCTTACCAAAAAACAAAAAACAGCAATTGAGTTTTAATTTGATCTTAAAATAGCTTAATTGTATAAAAAAAAATTCAACAATCAAAATGAGAGTTTTTAAAAATTATATTATTATAATTCACAATAAAATATAAAAAGGATAGATAATGTTTTTGTATGTAGTAAAACGCCATGTATTTTTGGCTTTATGTATATTATTCATTAAAAATAGTTATTTTTTAGAGTAACATGTAGGATGCATCCTTCTGTCTTATTGTAAGTATTTAAAGAAATTTAATAAATTTTTTAAGGATGGTCTTAATATTTAAATTTAAAAATTAAGAAAAGAAACAAACCTATTTAACTATCGATTGAATCTTGTATTGGTCTTTCAAAATTAGAATTAGGTTCGTAAATGTTTTGGGGTGTTATTTAATATTATTTAGAAGTTTTTTTATTTTAAAAAAATTAATGTGAAACAAAAAAATTATTTATTTTAGTTTCTCATTTTCAAAAAATTATAGAAACCAGCAAACAATCACCAAAATTTTAGGAAATAAAAAAATAGTCTGCCTATTAGAACATAATAAATCAAGATTAGCAAGTTTTTTGTTTTTTATTTTTTATTTTTTTGTCTTAAAAATTTTGAAAAATAAAATAAAACTTGTGATACGAAATAATTATTCATTTAGCTTTGCTTACTGAAAGCCTGTGTTCTGTACTATCGCTAATAATTTTGATGACGTTATTTGGGGCCTAGATCGATTTTTGAAGGTGGTTTAAGTAAACTTTTTAATTAATATGCAGAGATTAGATATCGTATCCATATTATTTAAATTGTATTATACCCGATTATGGAATTAATTATGATTGTGCTATCATTATTCTTTTCAACACATCTTTCATTAGTTTCAACTCTAAAAAAAGGATAATTTTATTAAAAATAAATTATAAAATTTAATCTTTAATTAATCTAATATTAAATAAAAAAATTATAACCAACTCAAGTTAATATGCTAAATATTGTTTCTGGATCATACAACTGAAATAACTTATAAAATTTAATTTTTAATTAATTTAATACAATTAACTCAATATAAAAATAAAAAGATAAGATTGAAAAGCAAAACTAATTTAAAAAAAAAATTGGATTAATTGAGCTTACTTGTGAAATTTATAAATTAAGAGAAGAATAAATTAATAAAAAAATTTAATTTGAAATGATAAAATTTAAAAATATATATTATTTTAATAAATAATAAATAACTATTAAGGAAATGTATAATAAAAAAAAACCCTAAAATTATGGCAACGCCTTATATTGCAGTATTGGTTGGATCCCTTTATTATGAGGACTCTTCCATTTTTTAGCCTACGCAATATTGGGCTTCATAGTTTCCTTCCTCAAGTGATTGAGTCCTAAGCCCCTTTACATCATAGCCCAAGAATTGTTCTTAAGTCTCCAATGGCGCCCCTCCTAAACGGACAGTTTGGTCAAATCAAATTTACAACGGCTCTTAAAGAAAAAGCAGCCGTTGCAAAACCCTATTCTCTATATTCTTCCCCATTTCTGTACTTGTTCATCATCTTTGAAAAATCGTACTCTAATCACTATATAAACCCATCGACTCCGTTTGAAAATTCCCAATCAAGTCAATCTCTCTTTAAAGATCAACAACACATCGCCCTTCTTTTCTCTTTCTGGCTCTATTTTTTATTTATTTATTTTGTTGGGTTCCTTTATTTTTGATTAAGTCTCTTTGACCACTAACATCTCTGTTTTGCAGAAGGAAATATCTTGTTGGGCTCCTTTATTTTTGATTAATTTTACTGTTTCTCTGTCTATTATTTGTTTTTGGTTGTTGTTAACATTATGGATGCAGGGTCTATTAACTCTTCTTCAAGCTTGAAAGCACAATCTCGTTTCCCCCTTCAACAGCAGTTTCTTCCCAGAATGAACTCTAAAGAAAACGTAAGATTTTGCTTTCGGTTTTCTTGATATCTTATAATGATTCAATTATGAATTTTGGGTTCTTATAATTTGTTTCGTGCATTGGATTCTTTAACAGCTGGATAGATTTATTCCAAACCGGTCAGCAATGGATATGGATTATGCCCATTTCATGTTAACAGAAGGGAGAAAATGGAAAGAGAATCCAACAGTGAACTCACCGTCAAGAGAGGCTTACAGGAAGCAACTTGCTGAATCCTTGAACATGAACCGAACTCGAATTCTAGCTTTCAAGAACAAGCCTCCTGCACCTGTCGAGTTGATGCCTCAAGACCACTCTCATCACCACCACCAGCCCAAAACCGCCAAGCCTCGCCGACATATTCCTCAGACTTCTGAGAGGACATTGGATGCACCGGATCTTGTGGATGATTTCTACCTCAACTTACTGGATTGGGGCAGCAGCAATGTTTTAGCCATAGCTCTTGGAAGCACTGTTTATTTGTGGGATGCTTCAGACGGTTCTACCTCAGAATTGGTCACGGTTGATGATGAAGATGGACCCGTTACCAGTGTCAATTGGGCTCCTGATGGACGCCATATTGCCATAGGCTTGAACAATTCTCACATACAGTTATGGGATTCTGCTTCCAATAGACAGGTAATAAAGCCCATACCTCTTTTAATGTTGTCCTTTTTTGGTAAAGTTTCTCTTGTTGCTGTTTGCTTATAGTATTTGTTTTGATGTTTTTCCCACAGTTAAGAACATTGAAAGGAGGACACAGATCGCGAGTTGGGTCATTGGCATGGAACAATCACATCCTGACAACAGGGGGAATGGATGGTCAAATCATTAACAATGACGTGAGAATTAGATCACACATTGTTGAGACTTACAGAGGGCATACACAGGAGGTTTGTGGGCTTAAGTGGTCCGCTTCAGGTCAACAATTAGCAAGTGGGGGCAATGATAATCTAATTCATATATGGGATAGATCTACTGCATTATCAAACTCAGCAACACAGTGGCTTCACAGGCTGGAGGACCATACTTCGGCAGTGAAAGCCCTGGCTTGGTGTCCTTTCCAAGGGAATTTGCTAGCCTCTGGAGGAGGTGGAGGAGATAGGAGTATTAAGTTTTGGAATACACATACAGGTGCCTGCTTGAACTCGATTGATACCGGATCTCAGGTTTGTTCTCTTTTGTGGAACAAGAATGAAAGGGAACTACTTAGCTCTCATGGGTTTACTCAGAATCAACTCACTGTTTGGAAATATCCATCAATGGTGAAAATGGCAGAGCTCACTGGCCATACTTCTAGAGTCCTTTACATGGCTCAGGTACTAATAAATAATTTGAGGATTGAAATTGATTTCTTAATGATCTTATTTTGGCTTTAATTTACCAACTTTGTTGTTTGACCTACAGAGTCCGGATGGTTGCACAGTGGCAACAGCAGCAGGAGATGAAACGTTAAGATTTTGGAATGTTTTTGGAGTTCCAGAAGTGGCTGCTAAAGCTGCTCCTAAAGCAAATCCCGAGCCATTTTCTCACTTGAATCGCCTTCGCTGAAGCTGAAATGAAAACAGAACAACAAGGCAATAAAATCTCGCAGAAGATGTGCCAAGATACATTTTCTGCCCAGTTAGTTTCTGAAACGTCGTCTCCGTCTGATTTCTTTTCACACCGATTCTCAGAATCCTCGCATGCATATTCTGTTCTGGGTTACCGGGAAAACAACAATTTGTTGTCAGCGAATGGAGAAGGCAAATCAATGACAATCGATATCCATGCTTTGCAAATTGAGACAGCTACTAGCAACAAAATCATAAATGAAATGGCATAAAGCCCCCCTCACTCAAGTTTGGTTGCATCACCCCTTCCCTCCTCCCTCAATTGCTGTACAGATCAAAGAATGATTTTGAAGGAGGGGGGTTGGTAGATGTGTACTGTAACATCAAATATCTCCATAGTGGAAGCTTTCAGAATGTTTTCCCCCGTGGAGTAGCCACTCATGTGGCGAACCACGTAAATTTCCGTCTTCTTCTTCTCTCTTTGATGCCGTTTTTCATCCTGTGACAGATGAATTATTTCTATACACTCAGCGAAACACCAGGCAGATACAGGAGGGAAATAACATCGAGAGAATATCCTCATCATCCCATGCTCTAGAATGTGAAAAACTTGAAGTGAAAGAAAAGAAAAATCAGTAAAACATGCACAGACCACGACCTCAAGGGTAACCATTGTCATTGGGTCAAGCTATACACAATAATATCTAACAGGATCATTTATGATAAATGTATAATTAAGCAGTCCAAATAATACATGTAAATATAATTACTACAAGTTAAAAAAATCAAATATAGATGTAGAGCATCAAAATGATGACCATTGTCACCAACTTGCTAGGATAGTCAGATTTTACACTTGGGACTAATATTGTCCAGGTAGCGTTTGTACAACTCTACGATCCATATCAAATTAATATTCAAATCACACAATATGAACATGGACTAATGTTGCCTAGTTAAGTGTGTATGTATTCTGATTTGTATAATTCTAAATTTCATATTAAATTAATATTTCAAAATCACACAATTTGAAGTATAAATAATCAAATTATGAATTCTGATTTGAATTCATGTTTATCATTTACATAGGCATTTTCAGAATTATTTACCCACAATATATAACAATGATAAAAAAAAAAAAACAAGATGAATATCAATATTCAGCAGTATGTGGAATTTTTGAAGTACTTAAACATATTTTATCGCAAAATATAATTAATTCCCAAGTCAATAGGAAACCATAAAGACTTGATAATAAATTATCAATAAATCTTTCAGAATCCAAGAGTAAAATTGTACTTTCCAACAAATAAATTAATTGTAAAGAAAAAGACCCCGTAACAAATTAGAAATGGATTAAGAAAACTTACTGAAGAAAAATTAGAAAAAAATTGCATAGTTAGCTGGGCACTCCTTGATTTAGCAAGAAAAAAAATAAAGGAAACGATCTCGGTTTGAGAATGTTCTTCCACCGTTTGTAATATACAAATAAACTTATATCGGCTAAAGACTTGAGAATTTACGGGCTCACAATTATGGATTTATGATGAGAGATCCCAGTGGGGAGCTAAGTGAATTGGCAGCTAAGGTTCCTAGCCATGGCTTAGCGCTTATGATGCAAGATAATAGCAGAAATTTACCACGATGCCTGCCATTTTTATATGGTCAAGTTGGTATAAAAGATGTCTTAAGCTTTTCATAATATGAGTAACAATCTGTAAATGCGAAAATGGTGGACTGTGGTTTTTATGACGGCTGTTGTATGGTTCTGCTAGATTGTTTTGTATCCGGAAAAAAAATGACCCATTTCTCGGCAAAAGTTAATGGTTAGGAATAAATAAACCTTAAGATTCTCAGTTATTTTCATCAATCCATGTGTATAGCTATGGATTTCTGACAAATATACCTGGTAGTTAAGTGTTGTTTCATTTATGACCTTATCCTAAAATAGTAGCAGGTACTAGATTTAAGGTATGAAGTTGCTGCCTATTCTTTTTCTTCTTCATATGCATACAATCACCTTTGCCATTGTTGATACTAGGAAAATGCTGCAGAGCTTCTTTGTAAGTTCCTATATCTCTCTCCTTCTTTCTGACTCTTTAAATTAGTAATGCTTTAATTGAAATTCAAGGGTTTTTAGATAAATTTGTAGTGATTGTGGATCTGTGATTAGCAGCAGATCCAAACAATTTTCATTTCAGATTTGAAATTCGTGAATGATTTTCTCCAAAGTTTCTTCTCACTGTCTGTTGTCTTAGCAATGGAAGCATTTTCTCAGAAATTTTTGTGTTAGAACATGAAAGTGCAGCCCTCAAAATTTTAGTGTCTATTGGTCTCATTTCAACCTTTTGTTCTGTATAAAAATGGAAGTTTTCAAACAACAAGACGTGTTGAGGAAATTTTGGTTAAAAACAGACTAGACTGGCACTAAAAGTATTTGTATTTAAAATGTGATATATAATTGTTGTTCCTTTTTTCATTTCTTTTGATATATATGATGCTGCCTTTATGTTATGAATCTTGGTGGTTGATTGGGTTTATCTTTTCATCTTTCATGAGTTTTGTTCTTAATCCTGATAGAACAACATTGTTTAGAATCTTCTCCTCCTGACCTTTTCTTTTGCATTAATCTTCAAGTTTGAAGGCTTTTATGGATTATCTTATGATTACATTGTGTGCACTGGTAAAATTGCTTGGCCTCCAAGTTTCATTTCGATTTCACTTTGGTTGGTTTCTTCATCTTCACTCCTAAAATCAAGTTTTGACCCTCTAAGAAGGTGTTCAGACTGACACACTTTTTTCTTTTCTTTATTACGACTATGAGCAGTATCGTGGAAATCTTGATCATGTAATTATGATCCATTTTCTTAGGATTCTTCAACTCAAACAAAGTGGTGTTCCTTTGTATATTTAAAAACCATCTCAATCTAACATGTTAAGTTATTAAATAAATAAAAGTCTCTTAATTAAAAGTTATTTAATTTAAAACTTACACGAACATATATTACTTTATACTTAATTTTTATTAAATACAATAATGGTGGTGATCATTTGGTCAATAAAACTATGATACTATATTAAAAAATCATCTTAACCTAATAATTTAAATTATTAAATGATACTTTCAAATATAATTTATATAATTCTTTAAAATATTTATTTCATACATACATCGATGATCCGTCTTTGTGGAAAATGCCACAATATCAGATTATAATAGAATTGACCTGGTTAGGTTGCATGATTTCAAGCACAGTTGAATGTTATGATATTTCCATTTGGGATCCAGTTTAAGGACACCATTTCTTATAGAGTCATCTATCTTTCAGAATTTGTAAGGTTAATCTGTTTATCAGATGTTCAAAAACCATAAATCAGTTATGCAGCAACTGTTGAGTACTGTTTCTGCAACCTCTTCTCATTTAATGTTCATTATTTTTGCCTCATTTGATTTGGCCTCAGGATTCTTAATAAAGAAGAAAAGAATTTTCATGCATTTGTTTTTGTTTCCTCCAATTTCTCTTGTCCAGGCTTGTTTTCGGCTGAATATGTTTCATACAGTAGATATGACGAACGCTGAATTGCCAGTAGATATCCTCTTTGATTTACTGTTCTTGCACATTTTACTAGTATCTTTTGATCATGCCCTAATCTTGTTTTTCTATTTTGTGTTACAGCATCAATGTCAGGGTAGGTGTATCTGATGATTGGATAGCTGGAGGAGGGATATTTTAGCATATGACCAGTTGGAGTATCCAACTTTTTATGCCTATGATACATACAAAACTGCAGTTTTCACAGTTCGACTTCTCCCCATACACACAAGACTGCGATTACTGATATTCCTTTCTATTTTACTTGTCCCAAATGATAGCTAAGTGACTAAGATTCAATTTCTTCAGATTGAAAACTTTCTCAGGCAGTTGTTTTATTACCTGCCCTATATTATTATTATCTGTGCTCAACTTTTCCTTCCAGCATTCAAATTACTTCTTGAGTACTGCAGGATTTTCAACAATGGAAACACTACGTGGACCTCAGTTTACACTGAACGACGGTAACACACTGGTGACGGAGGTGGTATCGGACGATGATTCGCATCTTTGCCTCTATGTATTACTGCAGGACATGCTCAAGATTGGTGACATGGTTGTTGGGTTTGACATCGAGTGGGGCTTCAAAGGATGTTCTGCTAGCAGATCAGGAAGTACTTCTAGCAGACATACTGAAAATCATTCTCAGCCTGACAAGTCCGAGCACCTTCCTAGGAGAGTGGAACATCACATTGCTGTCTTGACGTTCTGCACTAAACTTGGCTGTGTCCTAATAAGGCTCTCTCCTTATCATATTTCTCTGTCTCTGAAACGCTTTCTTTCAATCAAGGACATCATGTTTGTAGGAGTTCATATCAAGGAAGATCTTCAAAGGCTAAGAAGTGTCAGTGGCCTGGTGGTTCGGAATGCGGTGGATTTAAGTGAACTGGCTGCTACAATATATGATCAACCTCGATTCCGTGCTTATAATGCAAGGGAACTGGCGTGCAAAATATCTTCACTAAAATCAGACCCAAAATCTCTCAATGTTTTATGGTCAAACTGGTTTGATCCTACTCTTAGCCCTGAACAGATTGAGTCTGCAACTATTGATGCTTATGCAACGTACAAGATTGGCAAAAAGCTTATGGAAAGCGGCAGTAGCAGTGTCAAGAGGTTGTTCTTGTAATCTCTTTATTTATGCCCAACCTCTATTGCTGAAAGCCTTGAGAGGAATAGTTGTGTCTATTCATTACTCTATTTCAGACTGTAATTTTATTGCGTTCCATTTTCTTCTCGTTGTCGTCATCAAAGCTCTTCATTGTTAGCTTAAGGTGTTACAGAGACTTGCGTCATCTTCTGTACTTCACAATTTGAGTAAATTAATGCCATTATTATTAAGATTAGCCGGTTTCTCTAATCTCATCCATTTTGCAATAAAATCTTGAATTTGTGTTAGAAGTACCATTTTTTTCTATATATTAGCTTCAGCAGCAACACAGCAATGGGAATCGGGTGTTGCGTGGTAAGCTGCCATAAAAGGAAAGGGGACAGTGGATGTAGAGTTTGTTGATCGATGAGCAGAGCACACTTACTCGTAGTTTTTAGAATAGAAACGTATCACTTCAGATGACATGCACACACACACACAGTTAAATAGCTGCCCAGAGAAAGTTCTAATGCAGAGGAGCGGAGCTAATTTGCAGTAACTGTTATTGGCAAGCCTGCTCTTGGCACAGGAACTTGATTACTTGTCCTCGGATTCATTTATATCGCCAACCGAGAAATACGATCCTTGCTTTGACCAATTGGCTAGATGATTCACTGTCTTCTAAGTTACTAGCCTTTGTATGGTGAAAACTGTTAGGATATCCTAGAAATCAAACGCACGTACGTAATTTATGTGTTTTGGTAACTTGTTTGCTTCACAGTGCTATTAATTTGTTTAGAAACAATATAAATAACAAAATAAGGAGAAGAATTTTTTTTTTCTCTACTCAATTCAACCCTTTTTAACTCTCACTCTGTGTTTCTATTTATTTTATGTATTTTTTAGTATATGGATCAATATTTTTTAATTCTAGCAACTTTTTTTTTTAGCTCAAGTATCTTCATCTCTTTTTGACTCATATGTTTTTGACTCATATGATCGAGTTTATAATGCCATAGTTGTGTTTAATTTTCTGTCTCAATAAAGGTCATGATGTATGTAAATTTTGTAGTTATATACAAGATACTAGTTTTCTTTTCATAAGTCAAAATCATTGTTCCATTTGATATTTTTCATATACCTCTAGAAAAAAAATTAAATGACCACTATCGTCAAGTTATCTAATGAAGATCAGTTTCTTCTTTAATTTAGAAACATATCTTATATTTTGTAAGTTTCATATCGATCCATTCATAATCTTGATTTGCACATCTCATATACCTACAATATTCATTGGTTGTCCATTAGCCAAATAAACCATACTGTGATCTTTAGTAACTTAATTTTGTATCATTTCATGGTATATTGGGTATTCTTTTTTACTTATAAAGTTTATAAAAAAAACAAATCTGAGCTCAAGTTGATATTTAGTTTCAGGTTAATTTTGGTTTTTGAGTTTTTAAAGCCATAGATAGGTTTATCACGATTTCTATAGTGTTTTTTAGATGTTTTGAGTCAAAAATAGGTTGAAAAACAGGATTTCAAGTAAAAAAAACTTAATCCTTAATTGTTCGATTGTCATAATGATTGAAATCTGAGCAAAGTAGACAACATGCCATTTATTTTTTCAAAAGAAAATTGGGGTGAATAACATGCCATGAATACATAGTCGGTGGGCCATGTAAGCTAGTTTAGCTTGCTAGGCCTAACAAGACCTTTGCTTTCTTTTTTTTTCCTTTTTTTCTAACTTTGTTTCTATTTTTTAATTAATGATTTTTTTATTTTTTTCTCTAAATTATTTTAACTTATATTTAGATTAGTATTTCTTTAGTAACTTTATTTTCTAATTAATGATTTTTTTTATTTTTTTTCTAAAATTAGACTCGATAGATAGATGATGATCAATTTTATTATTTTTCTTTAATTTTTTGGATTTAATATTTATTTTAGATTTTATGTTATTTTTTTATATTTTTATATTTTGATTTGTTTGTAAGTACATATAGTGTTTTCTGACAAATTTAAATATTTTATAAACCTTTTAATTGAAGAGACAAACATTATTAAATTTATTTTCAAAATATAAAATTGTGAATCTAAAGCAATTCTTTTTCCTCATCAATTTTTTTGTGCTTTCTGAGTTGCTGCTGTCCTTATAGCTTCCTCGTGCATTGCTAAGGCTTCTTCATGAATGAACACTGACTTTCACTAACTTAATTACTCACATATGAAATATTTACAGTTATTCTTTATAGGGCTAAGCAAGAGAATTTGATAAATCAACTCGAAATGTTTAATCCCCTAGCTAGCCGTAACCTTGATCATCACTCGATTAATGGGCAGGCATGCCCTCGAGGTTCTCTCTCCTTCATTCCATGCATCTGCTTCGATTTTCCATTCTTCCTTAACCGCAGGAGATTGTGATCATTATTGAAGAAGAGACCGCCGGACTTCTCGTGTTGGGCTCCTCTTGAATTATGGATAGCACGACTCTTCATGCTAGAAAAATTTAGTTCATTAACTTCAATTTCAATGGCTAGAAATATTTTTGAAAAACAAAATGAAACCGACTCTAAAGTTGGTGGATGGTTAATTTATTTATTTATTGGCAGTTAAGCTTTTTGTATAAAAAAAATCAAGAAACCACTCGATCGATCGTTTCTTTATATTTTTCACTGCAATAATGGATACGTTTCTTATTCCTATGACCGATGGCAATGATCTATCCACAACGCTGGTGTCTGGAAAGGATGACATAGATCTTAGCTTCAACCTGCTGTTTCGTGATGCGGCGGGTGACAAGGTTGTGGGGTTCGACACGGAGTACTCTCTGGAGACAAAATTTAGCAGAGATTTAAATGCACATGTTGTTGAGAAAAGAATTGCTTTAGTGAAACTGTGCACTAAATACAGATGCATATTGTTCAGGCTTGACAGAGATAACGTCGATTACGTGCATCTGTTGAAGAAACTGTCAGCGTTGCTGGCTAACAAGGACATTGTTTTCGTCGGTGTTCGAAAGAGAGATGACCTTGTAAAGCTTCGGAACGAATATGGCCTAGAAATCTCCAATTTAGTGGAGTTGAGCGAGTTGGTAGTGGGTGTTCTTGGCGAGCCTGCTCTTGGCACGTACGGGGCCAGGGATTTGGCTGGTAATCTTGATGTTCTTCGGCATCTTGAACCGAGAAATTCCATCCTTTCTTTGATCAACTGGCTGGATAATTCGCTAAACAGGCAACAGGTTATGTGTGCGGTTACTGATACGTATGCTGCCTACAAAATTGGCAAGAAGTTACTGGATGATCGGCGAAGGAAGTGTATTTACTAGATGTATCGCTTCAACAGCATCTTAGTTCCTTTTTTCCATGTTGAACTGTGTTACTGTGGTCGTTGAAACCTCGTGTTCTCTTACTGTGTCTTTTTCTCTTTGTTTACTGGACAGCTTGGATTATCTGCTCTTGACTAGGGAACAAATGCTGGTGACCTCATTGCTATAATTTTCTTCTTCTTGTTTCTTTCAAGCTAGATAATAAATGTACTTGCACCAGGAAAATCCCAGAACAACCGATCCAAAGCTTCTCTTTTGCAAGAACTTCTTAGGGAACTCGAACTCGAAATCCCAATTGGCTTTCTTCTTCTTGTTTCTTTCTAGCTAGATGTAATAAATGTAATTGCACCAGGAAAATCTCAGAATAACTGATCCAAAGCTTCTCTTTTGCAAGAACTTCTTAGCGAACTCCCAATTGGCTTTCTTCTTGTTTCTTTCAAGCTAGATGTAATAAATCTAATTGCACCAGGAAAATCCCAGAACAACTGATCCAAAGCTTCTCCTTTGTAAGAACTTCTTAGCGAACTCGAACTCGAAATCCCAATTGGCTACCGATCTTTGAACACTACTCAACCTAGTCTGGAAATTTCAGATCTCTTTGGTAGCACCACAGGATAAGAACAACTGATTTTACTTCATTTCAGAAAACATAATTTAGATCAATCATGCTCCTCATCTTTGAGATGCATTTACAAATGGTGGGTACAGCATGATATAGGCCTGGATCTGTGACTTTGTTAGCGTTTTAAACTCTTGGAATCAAATAATAGATGTGATAATTACCGCAGAGAGCAACTTCCAGTGTGGAAAAAGTTTACAATAGCCTCAGTCACTTCTTCAACCTAGTATCCCCCTAGAAGCCTTAGGTTAGCGGCTTTGCTTCCATTTAAAGAAAAGATTACTGGTTTTACTAGTGAAGTATTTTGAGTTTAATAACATTCAATAGTGAAGTCTTGTTTTCATTTTTCTGTAAATTGGAGAACTTGGCTTGAGATTGGTTCTAATCCTCTGATAGGATTTTGAACCAACCATCAAGTCATATTAAGCCCTCCTTTGATATTGCATTCTGAATAGCGGTTGAACAAAATTTTTTACAATTTTTTTTTTTAAATTAGTTTTTTTTTATAATTTTTACAAAATATTTGTTTAAAATTAGTTTTTTATTTTTTTGATATATTGATATAAAAATAATTCTTAAAAAATAAAAAATAAAAATTTAATAGTTTTAAATAAAAAATATTTTAAAAAATAATTATTATCATAATTTTATATAAAAAATACAACAAATATATTAATTAAGCCAAAGAAACCAACATAAATTTTATATAAAATAAAAGGTACAACAACAATATTAATTAAGCCAAAGAAACCAACATACAATCTAGAACATAAAATTCAACCAACCATGTGAAAAGAATAACCTTAAAAACACCGAATCTAATGAGATGAAGACAATTGCTACATCCACGTAAATTATTGGAATCAATAAAAAAGATAACTACCTTTACAGAAAATTTCCTTCTCTCGAATATACCTAGCCATCTCTCCTTTTCTCTTATTACAGTACAAATTATATTTTTTAAATTTTTAAATTTATTTTTTTATAAAAAAAATTAGAGTCTGAGCTACAAATTATATTTTTAAAATTTTAAAATTTATTTTAACTACCTTTACAGAAAATTTCCTTCTCTCGAATATACCTAGCCATCTCTCCTTTTCTCTTATTACAGTACAAATTATATTTTTTAAATTTTTAAATTTATTTTTATTTAAATTTATTTTTATATTTTTAAATTATTTTGATGTGTTAATATTAAAAAATAAAATAATTTTATTTTAATATATTTCTAAAAAAATATTTTAAATCATTATTACTATTACAATTAGATCAAATGTTTAGTTTAAAAATCCTGGCTTTAACTCATCCTATATGCCTCATTTAAAAAAAAAAAATCTTGCAAATATTTGTTTTCAACTTGATATCTAATTATAAAAGTTGATTCGGATTTCCCTAGTTGATCCGTGATCTAAATTATACAGGGTTAATAAAAATTATATTTTTTTAAAACAATAACACATATCTTTTTAAATTTAAATTAATTCAATTTAATTCCCCTGATCCATGACGCTAACTGTGTTGCAGGTTAACCTGACTCAAATCCAGTAACTATGCTTTAACATCAACAGCAAACATGGGCAGATATCTATGCATCATGCCACATCGTGTAAGAACCCATCACTTTTACAGACCGCCAGGACCAGTCAAATAATAATAAAAAAAGTCAAAAAAGACTCCGATAAAATAAAAACCAAAAAAGAAAAATAATTCAAAACCCTTTTAAAATTCTCTCTCTCTCTTTCCTTCCTCGTAAAAATCCCAGATTTTTCAAAACTTTCTGGAGAGAGAAGAAAATCCCCAATCCAAGCACACACAACCGTAAATTGTCAATGAAGTTATTAAAACTAGTTGCTCTGTTTACACTATTCTCGTTGAATCTAATAAGCTATACATGCCTCGCTGCTTCGATTCAGAGATCGCAGAGAACAGAGGAGGCTTACGTTACGTTGTTATACGGAGATGAGTTTTTATTGGGAGTTAGGGTTTTGGGGAAATCAATTAGAGATACTGGATCCACCAAAGATATTGTCGTTTTAGTCTCTGATGGTGTCTCTGATTATGCCAAGAAGCTTTTACTGGTAATTTTTCTTTATTTATTATGTTATATTTGTTTGGTTTCTGAGAAAATTCAGCTTTGAAAATGGGATTTTGGTGAATTAATTAAGTAAAGAGTGGATCCATTTCTGGTGGAGTAAGTGAATAAAACAAAGGAAATCGTTTTTTAGTTAATATATTTGATTTGAGGAGTAATAAGTAAAAGCGATTTAAATAAGGTAGAGTATGAAGTTTTAAACTTTACGTTGTTATAACTCTATTTTGATTAATAAAGTTGATTACTTCAAGAAAAAAAGATGATGGGATTTGTTTTTTATTTATCTTTTAGAATTTTGGTTGCGTTAGATTTAGGTTTTGCTTCTTCTTTTTTTTGAAGTTGTCTAATTTATTTATTGTTGTTTTGTTTTGGGGTTTCGAATGAATATTGTTGTGCAGGCTGATGGCTGGATAGTGGAGAAAATCAGCTTATTGGCGAATCCTAATCAAGTTCGGCCGAAGAGGTTTTGGGGTGTATATACTAAACTAAAAATCTTTAACATGACTAACTACAAAAAAGGTACAATTTCTACCCTTTTTGTTCTTAAGTTTCGACTCCAATCATAATATTGTTGATTGCTTAGATTGTACTTGCATTTGTTGTTTGGGGTTAATAGTTTTATAATGTTAAGTTTTTCCAATGAAAGTAGGGATAAAAGAAGAGTTTTTCTCCATCCATCTAAAACGTTGGTGGATTGTGATGGGATCTTTCCAAGTTTGTGTTTTACCACCATTTGTGTGTTGTTGGAGAATAAATGCTAAACATTTTTCTGAGTGTTATCTATTATGAAGGTGAAGTTTCACAATCTCTTAGGTCCACCCATCTCCAAAAAGAGAGAAGCATAATTATATGGTCATGTTGTTTTAGTTGTCTCAGGTTTTGTTAAAAATTTTAAAAAATCTCAAATCTGATTTTGTTGCATGGTAAGAAATCTCAGGCTTTATACTTATGCTTTTCTGTGGGCTCTGAGATCTCAAAATTGTGGTTCTGGTTTTCCCCATTTCTTTTCTTTTAGATTGACATGACCCGAACAACATATATTTTAGTAATTGTGCTGATTACCTCCTGGTGACTTTTTCATGCAGTTGTATATCTTGATGCGGATACTATTGTGGTCAAAAGCATTGAGGATCTTTTCAAGTGTGTGAAATTCTGTGCCAATCTGAAGCATTCAGAACGGTTAAATTCAGGAGTCATGGTGGTGGAACCATCTGAAACAGTTTTCAATAACATGATGAGCAAAGTAACCACTTTGCCCTCTTACACGGGAGGTGAAGTTTCTCTTTTTTATCATTTGTAATTATAATCAAGTGCCTACTTTTCATCAATGCCTGCTTCTTTCATGTAAATATAATTGTGTTCATTGCTGTTGGTTGGGTGTTAAAACTTTGAATTATTGTGATTTTTTTATCAAAGAATACACTCAATTGCTGTATTTGATCTAATGGTTTTGAAGGAAACTTAGCTCTGTCAAACAATGTTGATACCACTAAGTTAAGCTGTCTTTGATAATTTATGTGCCTGGTTATGCTTCCTCATCAGTTAATATATATTACTCATAAATCTTACAATTCTATTTCAATCAAGGCTTGAGCTAATTTTAGTGAAATTAAATTTAGTAGTTAAATTATACATTACCTCGCATTGACTACTACTAGAAAATTATCTGTGCAGTCTAGTTGATTTTATTGCCTTTACTAAATTCTCTATCCTCTTTCTTTCATTCTGTATGGATATTGTCATCCAGCTGTTTATTTTTCTGATATTCTGTCTCGTAGTTTTTTTCCAATAACAGGAGATCAAGGGTTTCTCAACTCTTATTATGAAGAATTTCCAAATGCACATGTTTTCCAACCTGGTTTACCTGAGGAAGTACGGAAAAGTAGACCTGTACCTGATATGGAGCGGCTCTCTACTTTGTATAATGCAGATGTTGGTCTTTACATGCTTGCTAACAAGGTATTATGTGAACATAGAATAAGATGATTGTTATTTATGCTGATAGTGCAGATTGACTGCCTCTATAACTGCTGGTGCTACTTTCTTCTGCTTTTTCTCTAATAAGGGGAGCAGAGTATCATATGCCCAACCTCTGCTTTCTTGTCAATTTTTGTAAATCTAACAATTTCAACATGCTAGTTCACATTAAATCTGCCTGGGTTAACTAACTTTGAATGGGACTTTAAGTCTTTTGACTAGCTGTAAGCATGAACAGATATTGAGCTACAAAGTCCTTGGTTCATGGTTTGCACATTCGATTGTGGTGTGTGCTGTGCTTCTGATAAATTTCTCATTCCATATCCACAATTGCTAGGGTCCTTTGTTCAAAACAATAAATTGATAATTCTTGGGTAATGTTGAATTTATATTTGCTCATCATTTGATTGTTAAATGGTGTTAACTTCTATATTCCAATGCAGTGGATGGTAGATGAGAATGAACTCCGTGTTATTCACTATACACTTGGGCCCCTCAAACCTTGGGACTGGTGGACATCTTGGCTCTTAAAACCCGTTGATGTCTGGCAGGTATTAATTCTTTTTCTAATCAAATTAGCTGCAGCTTTATCATCTTCATAACCTATTTCTCTACCCCCCCCCCCCCCCTACCAAAATGTTTTCCGAGGAGAAGGCCTGGGTTATTTTCTTGGTGGATGTGGGTGTCCTGGGGGTTGGCATTCAGTTTTGCTTGTGGGCAAGCTTTTCCATTTGTATTTCTTGGGTATATTGGCAGTTGGCATTTTGTTTTATTTGCAGGCAAAGCTTGTATTTCTCTTGCTGCTTTTTCAAAACCATGACTATGAAAACTCAATTTCAACCACACTCTTGGAGTGTAAATAATTGCAGATTAAATAACTCTGGTAATGTTGCAGAGAGTCAGGGAACAGCTTGATGAGTCCCTTCCTGGAACTGGAGGTGGCAAAAATCCAAAAGATGAACTTCTTGTCAAAGTTCTTTTCTTGTTACCATTATGTCTTGTACTTCTCTGTTACTACCGCTCTTTTCTTCAGGTAAGCTGTTCTACAATTGTTTTCCTTAAATGATATTTGAGGGGATCTATTTTCATCTCTAATGCAATCATTGGTACAGACAAGGGCATTCTGTAGAGGTTCATTATGTGATCATATTAGACGCCTCTATTACAAAATAAGATCAAATGGAGCACTTGCTTACACTGGTATTTCTTCATCATCTGCTGGCAATTCCACCTATCAAGTTAGTTCCCTCCTACCTTTCTTCTAAGTTTGATGGTCAATAATGAAATGGCCATATGTAGCTGCACTACTTGTTGACTTGATTGTTGCAAGTTACAGTTTTTATTGTGATGCTAAACAGTTATCCAATGATGCACAGTCCAAGGTTCCAGCCTATTTGGGTGGAGTTTCCATCTTCATGTGTTTTATGGCTGTTTTGATCGCCCTTGGGTTTGGTCTTTCAATTGTGCCTCGGCAAGTGATGCCCTGGACTGGTTTGCTCTTGATGTATGAGTGGACATTCACAATCTTCTTCCTTTTATTTGGAGGCTTTCTCCACTTGATCTATCTATGGGGAAAGAGGATGTCAACTCAAGCTGCATCACTTTCTCCTCATTCTGAATCTTTGGCTTATGATTCTAGAAAAGGTTTGTAGACTTTGGTTAAATATCCATGCTAAGTGCTTTCTTTTTTAATTTAAAATTAGTTTATAATGCCTGTTTCTGCCGCAGGTCATCGGCAGGGGTCAGCTTGTGATGTTGCTGCATGGTACTATGGTTTAGGGATGGCTTTGTTGGCTGTTGGTGCCCCTTCATTACCTTGTATTTTTGGTGTTACTGCTCTATTTTTGAGGTAATTTGTATTATCAGGTTTTATATTGATATGTCAGTTCGTAGCCCTCCATGTGAAGGGAGTGAAATTAACAAGTATGTGATTTCCTTGCAGGTTAGGGTTGATGGTTGCTGGAGGCCTGGTTTTAGCATCTTTCATGACGTATGCTTCAGAACATCTTGCAATCAGATCATTTTTGAAAGGCTTTGAAGACCGGGACACAGCACGAGCTAGGTACGAATGTTTCTTATTTTGACTGGTGGCTTAAAATGTTGATGTAAGTGTACGTTCCCTTTGATTTGTAATATACTCAACACTGTAATAGATTTGTAACTGTATAGAGATTTTCCTCTTCCCAGGTCTTGTAATATTCTTTCAGGAACAGTTTGATTGAACTTGACAGTAAGGCGCACACCCAATTTTGTATGATCCAACTAATGAAATTTGGTGATGTAAATGGTTGAATTTTTCACCTTCTCAAGGTAATAATATGTTAGAAGTACCAAGCTTTTTCTATTGATTTTGAATGATAAACAGTTTACTAGTTTGACTTAAATTTGTAATTTGTTGACTATGAATCATGTACACGTAGCTCTGCCTTTGTGCTGAGCTCTTCTATTTCATGGTAATTCTACCTTTTGCTCGTCAAAGCGTTTTTTTTTTTTTCTAAAAAGAAGAAACTGCTACAAAGTGTTTCATTGAAGCGGTCCAAAATTTGTGACAATTATTGTCTGTACGTATGTGTTTAGTATTGAAAAATTATAATTATGTTATTGATTATGAATAATTAGTAACTTATTCTATGTTTTAAGAAAGCTTGACTTTTACCATGACATTGAGATTTGTTTCATATTAGGATGGTGTTTATGATTATTGCTATGAATTGATGTTGTGTGGTTTAAGGATGTTTTTAAGTACAAAACCTATTTAATTATTATTGTATTCTTCTATTATTTATGTTGTTAATGTGTGATTATTTAAATTAATCCTTTTACATAGGTTTCTTTTTCTTTAAAAGTAAAATAGATGGTTGATAATGAGTCAAATAATTATGTTTATAAAAAGATCCACAGCTAATAATTATGTTTATGGTCGAGCCCTAAACCGTAACCATGGGTCATCTCTGTTATCCCATTTTCAAATTGATTTATCTTCATTCTGTGTACTATATAAAGGCAGTGCTAGAGTCGATTTCTTTAATTAACCAGATTAATTAAATTATATTACATTCTGAACTTAGACCATCAATCAGTCATGAGTCCATCGCTTGCTATTGTTTTTTGCCATGCCTGCACCGATGGACTGTTTAACATGCACAGATGCATTTGCCTTTTGAAGCAAATAATTAAAATGAAAAATAAGAAAAATTCTGAACATGCTTTTAAAAGGGAAACCTTTTGGGTCCTTAGAACCAACCACAGTTTCTGAACGTATACGAAGCGTTTTGATTCTGCAGGCATGGCCACAAGCCAATCCACCATAGAATCTGGATGTGATGTCAACTTTGGCACTAGAGAATGGAGGAGGTTATCGAAAAGGCAGAAACAAGATCGTAATTAATTGATAGTGGAAGGTTTCTAGTGTTGCGTTTGCTTATTTGATGTTTGAATCTTCTTCAATTTTAGTGAACTGTCGTTGAACTAACCCACCATTATTAATGATTATATTTACTTTTCCTTGAGTCCTTGATGACTCATTAACCAATAGAAAAATGCTAATTGATATAGAATTACACTTTGCTTGTCATTTTCCACTAATCAGGACACATGGCGACTTGCCCAGAAAAATTAAAAATTAAAGATTAAGAAAAGGAAAAGCAGATTTTGAAAGGTGGGACTTTGTTGAATCATCATCCTTATCCTAAAGGTTGTATAGTTCATGACAACTCCTGTTAATTTAACTTTAAAGTTGCAGAAAGCTACAAACTTTGTTTGTACCGCTATAATGTGACTTTTTTCATTGAAAGAAAGGTGGCTGCAAAGATTGCATGGTCCATTGAAGGGACATGGGTATCTTCAATATGAAGTTACCATACCACCTGTGTGAGCATCATTATTTGAGGTTAAGATTGTGAAAAGATGAAAAGCAACACTTCGTCTAACCACAAGCAAACTGATCATAGCCTGAAAGGTAAATCTTGAGATTAATTCCTCTTAGTTTAGTTCACAAGGACATGGATTGGACATGTACATCTGAGATTGTTTGTTTGTTAGTTATAGTACAAACTTGGAGAATATGCATTTCTGATACCTAACGTCTGCAATTTCAGGAAGTTCTCATATTTTAGAGTATTTTACTACATTATCTTCTTGCTCATGTATTTGGAACAAATTCTGCTTCTCCTCCAGTACTCTAGCTTTGCAGGCACTAAGAGCTTGCCTCACTTGTGTTTGGAATGGATCACAGTTTAGATCTCCATCAAGATTGTGAGATTTATGGTTTGTTTGGTGAGTAAATTTGACTGGACAGGATAAGAGAAGATGAATGTAGATGCAACCGAATGAGATGAGCATTTCCCTTGATAGGAGATGGGAAAAAAAATTAGGCTATGGGTGGCATGTACGCTCACCAAATATTATAGCACAAGTACTGAAATTGAGTGAAAACTATCTCAACGTACATTCTCAGAAGTTACATAGCATGGTGTATATGTCACCGTGTCACTATAAATGCTTTGGCATTTCCCTTGTACCTGTAATTCCACGCTGGTGACAATCATGAAGGACAGCTAATGCCTGGCAATTTAAATTCTGAAAGCACCATATACACGGTGACATACATGGTCCATGCCAATAATGTCTACCTAGAGTAATCAATCATGTGCTATTGTTCCTTCATGAGTTCTTTAATTGAAACTTTGTTCCTTGTGATGAACCCTAGCTAGCATTTCCATAACCTATTTAACTCGTATATGTTTGGAGTTTTAACTGCTGTTCACTAACTCGTTTGCGACAATTTCAATGCAGTAATTGGTTTATTGCTAGCTACTGATAACAACAGTAGATGAACAGGTGCAAACACATAAAGTAATAGATGGGTGATTGAACGACAAAAACCAAGCTGAGCTGCGAAGCCTGCAATTTTAAATATTGTACGGCAACAACGATTAAGAAATAAGGTAAAGATCCATGCTCTAAAATGATTAATTAATGGTTCCCTTTTCGGTGTTTAAGGATACAGAAGCTCTGAGAAAGTGGGAGAGAATTTGTTTGGTCGCCCGAAAGACGTAAGATAACAACTTCAAGAAATGAAATATTGGAATCTAATCAGGAGTTAAGATTCCATATATGCTTTATTATTTGTACTCTCTTCCATTTTCTTGGCAACCAAACATGGAAAAAACAAGAAGAAACGAAAAAGGAGAGGATAATTCAAAGCCAAGAATTAGACTTGCCTAGAGGTTCCATTCCCTCTGGTTATCATCTTCTTTTGTATCTTAAGGCCACGGCTCCAAGGCTACTCCATTGCTATCAGCAGGTAATCCTTCAAACAATCTCCTCCTCCTCCTCCTCCTCAAAACTACCATGATGATCTCCTCCTTCGATAATGATAAACCCTGATGGAAAAAAAAAATGGAAAGGAAATTTGATCAAGAAAAAGATGGAAAAGAAGATGCCAGCATTTTCATCAAGTTCTTAGTTATTATATACACCAAGGCTAAGGTGATGAGGTTTCTTGGCTCTTGGGTTTAAGGCGGATGATACAAGAAATAAAATATAGGTTAAAAAATTTTATGTAGGCCACGTACGAGTGAGGGACAACTATGATATAATATTATAGTGAATGGAATATCTCATAAAGTAAATGAACCTATAGTTATATCATGGTGGGAATCTAGGTAAACCATCTAATTGTGGGGTCATGGAGGGAAAAGAAAAGAAAAAAACTCAACCATCGTTAATAATGAAAGAAAAAACAATAGAAGTGATTATAGATCAATTTAGAACCCAACAATTAAGCCTAGTTTGAGAGTTAAAAGGTTTGATTCTTCTAATTCCCACTTCTTAAGTTAGGATTTTAGAATAATATTTAAAAAATAATTTTTAGAATATATTAAATTGACATAGGATGTATATTTTAAGATCGTTTAAAAAAATAAAATTTAATTTTTATTAACATCTAAGTTGATCTAAAAATATTTTTTATCATGAAAAAAATCTTTATAATTGAATATAAAAGGCTAGAATATCAACTACCATTAACTCAATCAATTTTTAACAAGTTTGATGACTCTTAATTAATGAAGTTGGATTAAGTGAGGTTGACACAATTAGTATACAAGTATAAGTATAATCATAGATTAAATCTCTAGTAAATCAACTATATATTTTTGCCTGTTGGGCTATCCAGTGAGCCGGGTTAAAAAAATTTAATATAAAAAAATATATTTAGATAATAATAATTTAAATTAATATGGGTTATTTTAACTAATATGTGATTGAAGATATGAGATTGGAATACCCCTGCAAAATAAAGGTGAAATAAATCACAAAACTTAAGATCTAATAACTTAATGTTAAATGATAAAATTAAAAATAATTAATTTAAAAAAAAATTGAGTCAATTTGAGTTCACTATACTTAAACCATAACTTGCGATATGAGAATGAGATAAAAAAATATTTTTTTAAAATACCTAGAAAAGGGATCAAATTTAAATAAATAAATAAATAACATTGAAAGAAACTCGAGTCCATCAAAATTAACTTAACAAACCTACAACTTGGATCATTGAAAAAAGGACCTGGAAACCTTAAAGTCCTATAATCTAATGTCATTCATGAAATTGAAAAAAAAAGGAGTAATTTATTAAAAAAGAACATGAAAAAAAAGAAGTTAAATTTAAAATCGGTGATCTTGATTATGAGATAAAGTTAAATTAGGCTAATCTTTAAAATCGGTGATCTTGATTATGAGAACGAGATGATTCCCTAGAAGGGGAAAAAAAAACATGAAGCAAAATTCTCAATAGTAAAAAAGAAAGAAATAGCAATCAAAATAATAAAGATCAAATATGGTATAAAAACTAATGAAAGAAAATAACAAGGGATAAAATTAAAAAATAAAATAAATTAAGAAAGTGATAAAAAAAAATAACAATAAAAAGAATGAGAATGAGAATGAGAAAAAGAATTAAATAAAAAATAAATGAAATAAAAATATTAAGGGAGAAAATTGGAAAAAAATCAAGAAAATAATTAAAAAATTAATAACAATCAAAAGAATAAGTACCATATTTGATATAAAAATCAAATAATAAAAAATGCAATTAAAATAAAAACTAATTAAAAAATTAATCCAAAACAAATAAAGATCAATCAAAAGAATAAAGATTAAAATTGAAAGATAAAACAAATAGATTGACAAGAACAACTATGAATTCTGAATGAACCAGTGTGGATTTCCAGGAAATAAAAAGAAAAGGAGAGGAAGAAAAATATCTATTCATTATTGAATATAAATTTTTTGGCTACCTAGTATCATTGCATGAACGGTGCAAGCAGCATCTACTTTATTGGAGCATCGGCCTCCACTTGTTGGCATGTATATTGCACATGCCATCAATGTTTTCTTTTTATAAATATTATATTTGTTAAAAAATAAATTTGTGACTAATTCAAATAGATTATAACAAAATAAATATGATGAAAAAAATATAAATACTCCAAACACTTTTTTTAAAGTTTTTTTATTTAAAAAAATGAAGTTATTTTAAAATTTAAAAATAAATAAAACTCGCTTACCCTGTTACTTTTTTGTTTCTAAGAGCATTTATATTTATATTATTTAACTGCGCCCAAAAACTTGATAAGTCATTATAACTCCGATCAGTTTAATAATGATAAATGAATTACATTCCATTGTAAAGACCATGACGGGCTTTAGTGTATTTTTTATTTGTTTTTTAATTTAATTTTAATATTGATTTAATTTCAACACGAAATGGCATGAATTCACGTATTGGTTGGTTTTGAGGTTGAAAATTAAGGCATCGAGCTGTAACTATACCTTTGGTTGGGTCCAAACTTTCTGATCATGATTTGACCGGATTTCTTTAAAAACCCGGTTCAGGTCAACCATAATTTAATTCCCAAAAAAAAATCAAATTTCCACATCATTCCAAAATTTTATGTCCCATTGAAAATATTGTAGATGATGTCTCGAGATCCTGTACGTCTATTTATTTATTTATTTATTTACTTTTATCAGAATCAAAACCATTGTAGAAAATGTTATATAAATAAAGTTGCAGAACAAAAAAGGAGTCAGAAATTATGAAAAAATAAAAGGTTTAAAGCAACTTTTGAGATGTCTAATTAATATTTGTTTTCAGTTTTTTCTGTTGGTTCTATTAGGGTTGTGGTGAGTGTTTTTTTTTTTTGGTAGAATATTGGATATCCATGTTTTAATTTAAATTAATTAATTTATTATTATTATTATCATTACAAAGATCATAAAATCAAAACAGTTTATATTATGGGTATTGGTTTGGTTTTGAGGGGGAGGTTGGCCTCTGGAGTTTTTTACTTTCTAACCTTAAAAAACCAACTCTAGTTAGAGTGTTGTCGGCCAGATGTGAGGCCTAGACAGGTCCTGCATCTAAAATGTCAAATCTAGCTTTTGATGCTACTTGAAATGGAGTCCTGAACTCGACGTATTTACAATTGGCTGGCACCTTGAATCCATAGTGTTTTTTTTTTTTAGCACGTTAAGAAAATAATAAAGTAATATAGTTGTTAACATAATTAGAAAATTAAAATATTTTCATGGTTCGCAGATAAAATATGCTATTCGTATTCTATAGATAATACATGTGACAAACAAATAGAATAGCATATGACATTTCTGATTTTATTTAAATTTTAAGGTTTAAGATTTTTTTTCTAACAACAAAAAAACACTCATCTCTCTATCTCTAGCTCTACCGGCAACAAGCTCTTTCTTCTTCTTTTTTTTTTTTCTCTTTAACAACAATGAGTTCTTACTTTTCTAGCCAAAATATCTACCTCCAGCCACTCTCACCACAAACATTTCATATTTAAATGTATATTGAACATTTCCTCTCAACTAGTGTTAATTCGATTCTATTAATGTTAGTGTTCTGAATTAAGAATTAGGTTAATTAGATGTAATTTAAGTTGTTAATTATATATAATTATGTTATTTTGTTAAATAACCAATTATTTTAGATGGTTGTTGATTGTTAAATAAAATTATATGTTTAAAATATTAGTGTTGATTTAGGTTAAATTATAGATTATGTTAATTACATATACTTTAAGTTGGTGGTAAGTTATTTTGTTAAATAATCAATTTTTTTTTGTTCTTGTTGATTGTGAATTAACAAAATTATATAATGGAAGAGTTAGTGTTGATGTAGATTAAATTATAAATTACACTAAATTACATATAAAATAATAATACTAGCTATGAAATATATGAATTTTTTTAATAATTTTGTTATGGTAGCGAGATTTAATAAATATAGGTGTTCATTTAATTTAGTTTTTTTATATATAATTAATGCACTTTAATTAATCCAAAGATTTTAATAAATTAAAATCATGCTGTGTTACATTATTTGACAGAATATATGATAATTTAGGGATGTTACGCTCACATGATGGTATTATTGTCAATATTGACAATGATATCAGTTATAATGAAAGAAGTTATAAATTTCTATCTGTTATGTCAAACATGTCCATTTACGAATTATCAAGAATGTTATGTTACCAACTTGCTTGGAATGATATTGGTTCTCCTCACATCTAGATGGTATTACAGACCTGTCCTTGAGTTAAACGAGTTGTGGTGATGCTCCAAACCCGTCCTCGAGTTGGATGAGTTGCGGTGATACTCCAAACTCGTCCACGAGTACTTCAGGCCCTTATACGAGATGAAACAATAATTAAATATAGTTACATGTTATGAGAATTATGAATAGATGTATAATTAATTTAATTTTTAGTAAAATATTGTGTTGTATTAATCGTCAGTCTAAATTATTTATTTATAATTAAATACGTTATGTGTTTTTTATGTGAATTGTGTTTTGATACTAAAAACTAGCTATTTAAATTGTACAAATTACTGTTTTTTGGATAAGGAGTTGATGGTAGAATAAATTGCCTCATGATAAGTCTTGTTATAGAAATTATAGATATCATCTGTGATACTTTCAACTATGTTAGATCTTTAAATATTTTTTTATATGTGTTATTGTACAATTTTTGTTTTATTAACTATACTAACTTCCCAAAACACTCTTCAATCAAGATAATATAATTAGTTTTTTCATATGTTAATTATTATTAGTAAACTCGAATCAATCTTGAAGATTATTCAGAACTCGGTAGACTCACCTTTTAATCTAGACCTGGAGCCAAAAAAAACAAAAAAAAAACTTGAGTTAAATGAATAGGTCAACTTTGGGCAAAAAAAAAGGATCCCTTCACAAATTATAATGACATTAAAATACATAAGTCAATTAGCATCTTAGATTACAAAATTAAGAAACCCACATGAATCCTTAGTAATTAAGATAATAAAAATAAATAATTTTTTTTTTCATTAACCTAGAAAACCGTTGGCAACACTAGTCATCTAGAATCCATCTCTGTCAAATTAAAATGAGATTAAAATACATAATTTTATTTACAAAAATTTGTCGCTAATCAGAAGTGGGTACTGACTAAGTTACATCTAGTCGAGAAGTCAGCAATGAATTCATTGGATGGGATAGATTATAATTAAAATTTAAGTAATAAATTAAGAGGGAAGCTTTGCATAATTCAGGTCTGATTCCAAGTGGAAATCCAACAAAGTGTTGATGCGTCTACTGAGTGGTTCATGTGGGCATAAACTGTGTGTTCCACATCTCAAATGTACGGAAAATTGGAGAAAGGTGCTCCAAGAAGGATTTTGGTAATCATTTAGAAAATAATCAAATGATCTTATGTGTTGCCTGTTGTGGTAAAATAATAATAATAATAATAATAATAATCATACAGAAGAATTTATTAAATATAAAATGAGGTATTGATAAATTGCACAAAGTACACTTTCTTAAATTATTAATTTCTTTTATTGGTTGGTATCTCTTTGCTGATTATGGTGTCCTTCCTCTTGAATCAGTCCATTTTAATAATCAAATATTACTTGTAAGTCATGTGTTTAATTTCCTTAAAAAAGAAAAAAAAAAGTCATAATTAAGAACTTCAAATAATATATATATATATGATCATTTTCAATGATTTTTTGAACATTTTATTGGGAATTAAATGCATAGTTAAATGTTATTCAACAGATTAATATGTTTAATTTTGCTTGGATTTTCTCTACCAAACCCGTTTGACATTACGTTTCAAATGGAATTACATAAAATTAATATTTTATATTTGTTTATATCATTTAATATGTTAATATTAAAAAAAAAATTAAATAATTTTTTTTATATATATTTTTAAATAAAAAATATTTTAAAAAATAATTATTACCACACTCTTCAACCCACCATAAAACCTAATAGAATTTGTGCAAGTGCGCACGCAAATGCCAATCAAATGCATGCACGTATACTTTTATTTTGTTTGTAGCCATTGTAGCTGCATATGAATTCTTCATGTGCAACCATTTCCTTTGAAGAATCCAAATTTGCTTCGAAATTAAGGTAAGTTACATGACCTTAATTTGTGATTGCTTGTATAGATGCACTCAAATTATACGAGTCAATTGAAATAAATTTGGTTCATAAATTCAGTTATGGGTTATAATTGTTATGGTGAAGGGAGATAATCTAGATTATTTTCTGTGTTTTTTATAGATTTTTTTTTAACATATAGTTGATTAAATCTGAATTTCCATTATATTTCTTTTCTCATTTTTTATGGATTTATAATTTTCATATGTAATCTTGTCGGAAGTTCATGTGGAGATTTGTGTCACACAACATTTATTAAAATCTAATGTAATTACACATGAAGACAAAAACCTTAACCTGAATTTTTAAAAAAAATATGAAAAAAAAAACCATAACCCAAAAAAGTTGAATCTGTGAAAGAGATATTTTAATATATTTTTCGGATTTGAAACTCCTATTAATAATGTGTAAACCATTCATACTTTAACACGTTTAGCAAGCTCATTGATCAGAGGAATCTTAATTAAACACCAACCCCACTTAGAAGAAAGATTTATTAATGCGAATGATGATCTAAACTAGACTAAACTAGAGTAATTAACACAATATTGTATTAATAATGGATAGTGACAGTGATACGATTGTAAGAGCCCCTTTGGTGTGTGAATATTTGTATTATTATATCAAAACAATTTAAAAACATAAAAAATATTAATTTAAAGTAAAAAAATCTTATTTTTTAAAAATATTGTTAAAACACAAAAACAATCATACAATATCACAAATACAGATATGTTCGCGGCTCCATCCACCGAACAAGATTTATATATTTACTAATAACTTACCTCTCATTAAATTATTTTTTCATGCTTCTCGTTGGAACCTAACCTTTTATTGTATACAGCTAAGTAACATATAATTGTAACGGTTGTTTAAAAATCTCTTCGAAGTAGCTAAGCTACTTAAACATCTCATAAACTTAAAAGTTACTAGAGAAGTACTCGTTGTTCTCTCAAATTTAATAAATAATTTTAATCATTATTGTTACCACAATCTCAAACAAAGATTAATTTTAGAAATAAATTTTCACCCTTCATCTAGACAATTTGGTGTTAATAGTTAAAAAAAGAGAGATTTAAAGATTACTAGTGTTTTTGGAGACGAAGAAGAGGATGCTTTCTGGTGAAATCTATATCTCTAAGTGGTTGTCAAATTGATTCTCTTTCTCTTAATTTTTGTTGAAGCACATCTCTAAGTACGATGTATTTATATATATATTATAAAGGAATAAATTTGTGAGTAGATTTTATTTCATATCACCTTTTACTCTCTCTCTCTTTTTAATATTTATTTGCTTGCTATTTATATTTTACTTTAGTTTATGGAGGTAACAGAAGTAAGATTCTCTAACAAAGCCCTCCACTCACTCTTTTAATATATGATGATGACGGATGATGATGTGGTGTTTGCATTAACTCTTTCCATGGCAACCCTTGGTGATTCAGAAATGAGATTCAGTTTATATTTCTTTATTTCAATGAAGGAAATGTACATTTAGAGTTCTTCCAGCTTGCTACGAAGTCTAAGTTATAGATTCAATCACATGTTTAGAGCAACTCAAGAACCAAGCGCTTGGATTAGTTATTGTCTTGTGGTTTTCGCGGGTTAAGCACTGGATGGTGGTAACTTGGACAGGCATTGAATCAACGCCATTAACCACCACCACCACCACCACATGTGATTGAATGATTGCAAGATTAATGCTGTACCTGTTTGAGGAAAGTAACATGAAATAACAGCCAAGCAACATGTTTTCGGAGTTCTTGCACTCATTGTAATTTGGCAGGCCAAGAGAACAGAATCAATAAAAAGCAAGGCATGCATATAAAATGCCTCATCATTGAATAGAGGGGTAAACCAAATTGGTCTTTTGAAAGTCGAAAGAGAGGAGCTGCGAGGATATCTTCTCAGAAATGGCACCCTTGCCAAATACAGAACAATGATGATCTATGAAAAGCAAAAGATACCAGCAATGTCTAGACTTGGGTACCATATGAACAAGCTGGAAAAAATAATCATATTAAACTTGGGTATAGAACCAGTACCAACTACAATGGGCAACGAAAGAATTGGTGAGGCTGGCAACAAAAGTACAGGAGATTCTGAACACCAAGATCACAGCATGATCCACCCAAAAGAATCCACTGCATTTCTGAACGGAAGACCCTGTTGAGAAACAAAAAAAAAAGAAAAAAAAAGAAAAACAAACAGCAGCAGATCTGTGGCCCCTAATAAAATTGGCCAATCATCTTGTATTGGTGTTCCATTATGTAACAAATATTTCCTTGATTTGCCCTAACTAACACGCAGGAGTGTGCGAACAAAAATGATTCTACCAACCCAAAATGAAGGCATGTATTTCAGCCCAACTAGAGACTGTATACAATATGCCCGATAGCCCTTTCCAATTAGGAGAGCTTTCTCCGCCAGATTCTTTCTGTTTTCTCACCAAGCCAGGGAACAATGGTACAAAAGAAACACCAAATTGACTTCCCACTTTCCTTAAACTTGCACTTGATCCAACTACAATACCAATATCTGCTTTAAGTAGACAAAGCAAGTCACCAACTGAATCTCCAATGTAAACAGTCAAGTTCTTTCTGTCATTGCTGTAATTCTTTAAAATATCATTGAAAGCTTGGGCTTTGTCCAAGGGAGATTCCACCTTCTTAACAATCTCCCCTGTGGAGATTGATTCATTGAAAATTAACTCGTTAGCATGTACATTCACATTCAAACCCCCTGTACAACAGCAAAGCAAACTATGACTGAGTATGGGGCAAATTATCCATTAGTCTTAAAGAGAAACAGGGAAACATGCTACACTCTATCTAAAAAGAGAAATGAAAAGAAAAGGCGCAGAGAGAGAGAGGGAGGGAGGGAATAAGAGTTTCAACACCCAAAATGCATTAGTAATGAATTTTGAACCAATCACCACATCCAAAAACCCAATATTGTAATGAAAAAATAAAAAATTGCACCCTTTGACCCTAAGAAAACATTTTTCCAGTCCAGGGACTATGAGATCAGAAGATAAGAACACAAAACCAGGATGGCAACAGATCCTGTGAGGCAGCTTCAGTAGTTAATAGCAAGTCATGATTAGTCTTGCATCAGTCTCTGTGTATGCATGCATAACAGTCATGAGTGTCATGCGAATGTGTGACCAAGTAACTATGGAGGCTCACCCCACATCTTTTTATCCAGAAAGAGATCTCGTGGGAACATCATGGCTATGCATGTCAGAGCCAAGCTAAGCCTCAGAAAGGCATGTTGTAACTGTGCTAAGCCTTGGCAACTTGGGGTATGGCATGGCTTGGCCACAGGTTTGCCCCCAAAATAATATTTATGAACTCCCAGATAAGTGTATGGCACAAGAGATCAAGTTAGAAGCAATGGTTTATCTATTGTAATCAAGGTTTTCTGAAAGACAATTCTCCTAGATGATAGCAACTTTTCCATCAACTTAACGGAGAGTTTATGCTAACCAAGTGTAACAATACCCAGTAATCTTTCACACATGTTGTGTTGCAAACCTTTATCTAAATCATATTTAAAAGAGGATGTTTCTAGGTAAAATCATCACTAATATACAAGGACTGACTTCCGTATCCGGCTATTATAGTTTGATTAGTGCCATCAAATTCTTTGTTCCATTTAAATAATTTTGTGCACACATATTAGATGCATAATTGATCTAACTGCTGCACAAATTTTTTTTTCACAGTAACATAATTTCAATGCATAAAATCATAAGTGAAGAAGATCATTGTAGTAAAGGATTGTTACAAAGCCTGTCTCTCCAGTTCTACATGGTTGCCTAAGAATGAAGTTCATTGCAATACACCATTCTCGAGCAGATCTCTCCCAGTAAAAATACATCCTTAAAAAGTTGGATTTGCAAAATAGGAAAACAAGAAACAAAATCCAGCACAACAACCCATTTTAAAGGAAGATACTTGACCAATTTTGCACAGAGGAAATGTAGACTATGCAACTAAGGATTAAGCTATCCTGTATCACATACTACTTTGACATCTAAAGTTAGGCATCATCGTGGAGGGTAAAATATGGTAGGAAAATAAGAATGTAAAGTGATTAAGAGGTCATTGTTCAAGTAAGTAACGTTAAAAGTCGAAAACTAGATACTCTAATGGAGAATATATACATATATGCATGTGTGTGCATATTTGATGCTACAGTGCAATGTATCAGTTTGAAGTTTCAGAGCAGCCACTGCATTGAAAAAAATACTGAAGGGTGGAACACCTCCAAATTCTTTACTCAAGGTTCTGACCTGGCCAGAACATACCTGAAGAAAAAGCTGATCTGATGAGATCACCACACCAGCAGTATGAGAGCACATGGACATTAGTGTTCAAATTTTTATTATTCACAATTTTCTGAAAGAAACTAGTGCAGCCATCCTGAAGAATCAAACGTTCACCAGCTCGTTTTACATCTTCAAGATTCAAACCCTTGAGAACTTCAGACTCAATCACTCGAGAATTTACCCTTCTCTCAAAGTCTAAAAGTTGTTCAAGAGCTTTGCAAAGAGATTCATAGTTGAACTCCACTGCAAAAACACAGAAAGTCAAAACCAAACTGAGGATTTAATAATATACTAAGATCTTCAAAAACAGAACATTTCCCATCCCCAAAAAGTTGACAGATTCCAACTTCTATCTTTTAGGAATTTTCATAAAGAATTATACCTTTTTTAGATGGCATAATGCTTTCAATACATTGCTCATACTCTTCTGTGTACTGTCCAGAAAGAAGATCCCATGTGTTTTTCAGATCAGCTGATGACATCCGAGCAATTTGAGCCTCACTTTGAACCACATCAGATTTTGGTGCTGTTACTATTGCAATCTCTGCCAAAATGGCAGAAGAGTCAACGACAGTGCATGTCAAATCAAAATCAGAAAATATGACAAGCCGATCTTCTGCAGGGTTATGCCCTTTTGTAAGGGGAGCTACAGTTGGCTGAGCAAGTGGCTGCGCAAGGAAGAAATCTATTTCAAGTTTCATGGCTTGGTGATAAAGCTTTTCAATGATGTCAAGCTCCTCGCCTGTCAAGGAGACACTAAGTTTATCCAGCAAGTCTTCAGTTTGCAGAGCTGATGCCTAGATTTCAAAGAGTACAATAATTGAGATGTTGGGGGTAAAGTAGGCCATTTATGTAATACAGTTTCCTCTCAGACTGCAGTCAATAAAATGTAATCAGGTGGACCATTAAAAACACAATGCAAAATACCACTGGCAAAACTGTAAATTACCTGAAAACTCTCAGACGAATAACTGTCAATCCACTTCTTGTAAGGGTGCCTGTCATCCTCTGGATCTAGAAGTGCCTGGAGCTCCTTGCCAAGAAATGAATACAGCCGCATGCAAGGTGTCATGGCAGCCAGAGTATAGGCTGCAACTTTTGTTCTTTCGAATGGAGTTGCAAGTTTACCAGGACCTTTCACTCCTTCAACCTTCCCAGAGGCTGTAGCCAACAAGAAATCTGTGTATTTAACAGTTGCAGAATTGACAGTCCTCTCTTTACCTGGGTCTGTACCCCATTCCTGGATAATTCAAACATTCAGAGCACTGAAAGAACTATTTCATGTAAGACACAGAAATCCACATGCTTACAGGATTATAAATTAAATATTAGATAGCTGTGTAAAGCTGATTTATAATTACAGAGTTCTACATTAAAACAAATTTACAGCTGATCTATGATAGTAGCTCTGAAGAGTTAAGAGGATGAATCTTCAAGACACAAGAAGTGGTGACTAAGATAAGGTGTCATTTCCATCAAACTCATCAGCACTTTAGTTTGCTGCAAAAGTTGCACAGTAACCTCTTTATTTCTCCTTGCTATATCTAATACAATTATATAAACTCAAATAATATGATTTTAGTTGCATTAGTATGACAAATGGACATCACAAGGGTTAAAGCAGAACAGTGTTCCATAAGATTCCAGTGTTGAATTTTTCTCCTCCGTGACCCTGCTGATGGAAATGAGCTTCCTGGAAGGAGCAAGCAAAAGTATAGCTACAAAATGCATGCTGACAGAACCACATTACAGCAAGATAGATTCAACAACAATTCTTATAGTCACTTAAATTTCTTGGCTATAAATCACAAGTCCACAACCAATAAATAGAATCAACTACATATTTCTCATTAAAAAACATTTTTCCAGACTAGAGAATCAATGGCTAAACTGTAAGATCTCGTGACAATTAATGGTGTGGAATGAAACATTATGGCACAATGCAACTTTATACTCTAGTGATAGCTAAGAAAGGGTAAAACATATGGAATTAGGTTTATTTATTGATCTCCCAAAAAATACATTTTCTTGACAAGGTTAGAAAACCATTTGAGCAACATTTTCACTGCGTTCGATAATCAGGAATAATTATAAAATAGTATATGCATATCCAAGTGAATACTTTGCAGAGAAACCCATTTTAAACTGTGCATTGCCTAGCTTGATTATGCAACATTTCATAGCAGCATAATGATTTTATCAGTGTAGCATTTTTTGAAATACCATTCATGATAACAGTCATTGACACTTTATATATGCCACCAACAATAAGTTTTTGATCTAAACACAGCACAAGGTAAGCAACCATTGTGCACATTTCAATCTAGCTTGTTGAATGTTCCCAAGTTTATTTTTCATTCCCTTCATATTTCAACAGTAATGTCAACATCCTAGGTTATTAAAGTTGGGATTTCAACTAGAATCATTGTAGGGTTCAAAAATTGTATTGTAAGATCGGAACCTATAAAGTCTTTCAATTTAACAAACCATAAGTAGTCTCAAATACAAATAAAAAACATAAAAAAAAAAAACATATTTTTAAATAATAATTACAAAAAAAAAAGATTCTTTTTGGTGAAATCTAACTGATAATAGAGTGAAAAGCACATAGATAAGGAAAAAAAAATCATTGTTTTAGGATAATCAAGCTTATGTGAATAGAATTAGGGAGTAATAAATCATGTAATTAATAAACATGTGAAAGTCTTTAAGAACTCGTATATAAATCATTCATAGTGACACTACCAGAAAAAATTGATACAATTTGAGCATGTAGATCAAAATATACATTTGCATCAACTTTTACAATCAAGAAAATAATTTCAGCATTCAACATTAGCTAGCCTTTCAATTAAGGATGGTTTAACGCATCCATTCTAGAAAATAAAAGGGAATTGTTAAGGCATTAAAAAGTATTTAGAATCTAATTATTAATATCCTAGTAATTAATATCAAATATCAAATCCACAGTAAAGGTATCAAATCCCATAAATTAAATAACAATGAAGAAAGATTCCAACTTCTCCCAAAAAAATTTAAAAAAAAAAACACTAAAGTACCAAATACCAACAAAGCCTCCAAGATTGAAATCAAACACAAAATAAAACAAGAAAAACAAAAAGAAAACCTCAGTACAAGAAAGAAGCTCAATCATTTCAGCAGGCTTAAAATCCTACAAAAATCCCATAAGATCCCTATTTTATGATTTTGACAGCTTAAATCCTGATTTCACTACAGTCATGCATACACAATTTTTTCATGAGATTTAAATCATTGACAGTTGTTTGCATGGTAAAATTGTAGAATTTTACACTTTGAATGGGAGTTTCATATCAACATCAATCATAAAATTACTGTAAAAAATCCTCTCTGCAATTCCAATAGGCTGCCGGACTAGTTTTAGACAGAAAACGATCAATTACCACAAACATTGAACAGAAGAACTCCAAGTCCATATTATGATAGTTCTTTTTTTTTTCCTTTTCACCCATTTTGAGTTTGGGTTTAAAATATGCTTAGAAAGCTTTGAACATATTTTCCACCAAAATTTGGTTTTTGAGGGGCTCTATCATCCAATAAACATGATAAAACCCGCTCACGTACAAAACTTAATACTGAATAAGCATAGTCATTCATTATCCATTCATTCCACATCATTTATGATGCTCAACAATCATGTGTATAAAGATGGGAAAAAACCAACAAGTTCATGCATGAAAAGATTCATTTAAAATCAACTAAATCAAGTCCCATGTCAACTATTTTATAATGTGATATAAAATATCCAAATTAAAGTCAGGAATGTCAGAACTCAAGGAGAAAAATGAAACAGCCTCCCCAAGAAAGCTCTTTTAAGCAAGGTTGATCAAGGCAGCAAACAAATGATCCTCACGTGTTCTCAGATATCAACAGAAGGAAAAGATGCTTAAAGCATTTCACTAGGAGAAGCCCAGAGGAAGAGAATTTGAAAAAAATGAAAAATGAAAAAGTAATAAAAATTGCTCAATGAAGGTTAAAAAACACATTGTTAACCCTTTCTTTTTTCTCAACCAAAATAAAATAACCAAACAGTAAGTAGAAAGGAAAAGTTCTTCTTATGCATTTTATCTAACCTCAACGAATGAATTTTGCATCTTTAACTCCTCTAAGACACCCTTCCTCAACTCAGAGGTTGCTAGCTTTGCTTCATCATCATCAGCACACTCTTCTGCCAATTCAAACCTAAATCCAATGATGGCAAATAAAAAAAAAAATCAAATGCCTAAAAAGTGACATAACTCTATTGGTGCAGTGAAAACTTGAAAGCGGAAAATAAAACAGCGTCCATAACTCAATTGTGTAACTCACCTCAGGTGATGTAACTAGTAATTCTTTTCTTTTTTCTCCAAACAATAACAATTTAAACCTCAAATTAGTAGCTGGGCACTGACACAAGAAAAGATGGAAGGACTTTTATTTATATATTTTATGCTGCTCTTGTTTCCGCAGAAAAATAATATAATTCATCAAGCATGGCAATAGTTCTAATTAACTTAGAAAAATGCTGGAATTAGCAGCTCTGTTTCCAAATAAAGAAAACTAGTTTTACATGGTTGCTTTTTCCCCTCCACCGTTCTCAGCAACCAAATAGAGCTTAAGATTTAAATTAGGCTCTTCATATTATATGCGAGGATCATCACGAGTCATTTCCTTGGTAAGGGTTATAAGAAATTCTCCAACCTTAATTAAACCCATTACTCCAATCATTTTATTTTGCCAAATTTTCTAATAAAAATGCTAAGAAAATTAACAAACACAGAA